ACTTTACAGCATTATCATGGAATTTTCAGAAAAATGAATGACTTCGGATATGAGAGGTGATCCCCTGGGGATCCGCGGGGGATCACACAAACTGGTGAAAATCTAATCTTGTATGGCAGTAACCTGGCATCCATTATGCGTAGGTATCAGGGTATGAGAACCTTCATATCACAGATAAAGAAGGAAAAAGAAAGGTATACAGAGTAGCGAAATATGACGCTTCCCCTCTCAGATCCCCTCCCCTCCCCGCGGGGATGTACGTGCATACGGGCCTAAGACACGCATTGACATCGATAGGAATCGTAAGCTTGGGTCCGAAGTCCGTCTACATAGAGACGAGCCAGTTGAAAGTGTACTGATGCCATTACAGAAGTCTGGCTTTCATCGAAGCGCTCATCTCTCACCGTTTGCCGTTTCTTGAATTGTGCATTTTATCAACAACAAAAAAAAATCTCTATGGCGTATTGTGAGAGGGATTCGAACATGAGCAGGAGAGAAGTATGCAAAGTGCGATACTACATGCACATGGCAGGCAACAAGCTTATTCCCTTCCTTGTTAATCACTCCATTGTCGAGAACTTCTTGGTCAAATTCTAAAACACAATCTTTGCCGCTAAAGACTGGTGGCGGAGTTTTTGATCACTCTCATCATGAAAAAATCTCCGTGACGAATTTGACGGAAATTTGACGGTGACGATTTTCCGTATGTTGCGTTATATATACCTCTCTATCAAACATTTAACTAAAGCCACATCAGAAATTTCGAAGTTTAGGTGAGGTTTGCCGATTGGTCATGTTTCCGATTGAATGTGAGCGAAGCTGACAATAAGAATAGTAAAAACAAATAAATTTCTAATTTCCGTTTCTTTCCTACCACTAGAATAAGAAGTTTTGTCGATTCTCAGTTATTTAGCTTTGCATTGATTACTACTACATACACCTGTAAAAAGTTATCACACACCGAGAGTACATCGGTACCTAATCTCTGCTGTTACTGATATCGGTTTTCCGCTACTGACATCATGGACGTCGCATAAAAAACATTGCTGATTTTTTGAAAAAGGAGTGGATTTCAGCGTCTTGCACTTTTTTCTTCAGGTCGTAAAGTTATACATGCTTCGGTGATACCGCTACTCATTGTTGCTTTCCTTTTTTGGTTGCTCCCACCTCATAGTTTTTTTAGCCGTTATTCACAACAAATTTTGCCATTCGTCTCCATCCCGCGGTGTCGTATTGTTTTCTAGTACGCGTAAACGAGGAAAGCCAAATAACCATTACATAGAGTAGTCAGCAAAATGACATATTGGATTGAATTTTTGCACAAATTGTTGTTTACCGTAATAAGTCATTTTTCATTTTTCTTTTTCATTTTTTTTCAATCATTTTTCTCCCACACCCCAAGTAAATTCCACAAACCATTTCGACAAAGCGAAGATATCTGCACCAATTCCGGTCTGCGGTTCAAAGTCAGAAATCAAAAAGGTCTAAGAATGTACTCGAAGAAGAGAGAATCGGAACTCGTTTGAAGAAATGCTAGAATGAAGAGAACGAAGTCATTGTTTTCTACCAGAGCAATGCGCGTTCCCATAAATTGTAAAGTATGAGCCGTCGTTGCCGTGAATTTCGGGCCTTCTACAAGACCTAGTCTTTGTAAAATCTAGTATGTAAGGAAGTGTTAACTCGATTCAAAAATCTGCAAATAGCGGGAAACCGAGGGCGGGTCCCGAAGCGAACACTCTTCCAAACGGCACTTTCAGATTACAGGTTCACTAGTACCAAGTCTATCACAGCTGAACTTATCTAGCTAAGTACGCCAAATTTGGCCAGATTTGATATTTGAATAGTGCCTGAAGACGGCTAAAAATTCGCGGTTGTACTTGTGAAGGTTTTTGTACACCGTGTGGGAATAGTTAACTAACTAGTAGGTAGGTAAGCAACGGTAATAGTTAACTAGTAGGTAAGCTGGAAAATTTTCGTTTTCTCGATCTCTACCAGAGGAATAATATACGGCAACCACAGACATATAGTATCTGATGTGATCCGCGTATTGAGCGAGTTAGGATTTCCGTGTGAATTTTTGGAGTTTCTATTCGTTTTTTTTCAAATTTTCGCAACTAGACTTTTCGTTTTTGGCTTCAAGCTTCGCGTGATGAAAGATAGTGGTAGAGTTTAGAGACCGTTCTGCTTACTTCAGAATCTACCTGGCAACTTGAATCGTGCGAAATATAGCCAGTCAGATAGCCTAGATGTGCTCATGTGCTCTGATTTGCTGCGCAGCAATGCTTGATTTTGATTATCTTACGTGTGACCTCCGATTTTTTTCCAAGGGAGGATACTTCGCTTTACCAGAGTATTGATGGCTTTTAAATGGAGACATTTTTTTGTGTAGTCTGAATGAATAATAAGCGCCAAAACAGCGCTAGAAGGAGCGTGATACCCTAGTCCGTGAGCGTGTGCAGGCCACTGCTACAGTCTGTGCTACAGTGCGCATACGCAGCGCAGACCCTTAGCGTTCGAGCGATCAGTCTATGCAAGCGCTTTTGCCCGACGATTGGGACAGACTATATATGCATTCTGAGAGTTGATCCCATAAACAACGTTTTTTATAAGCTTGTACCGTATTTTCTTGATTTATCTTGAGAAAAGGATGGACAGAGTCTTGCGAATTTTATGCGCCGTTGATGAATTCCATAGATGGATAATTTGCTTTCAACCTTGAACACCACTACCAGGATTGCATCGCATATCTTTGACTTGCGCCCCTTATTCCCGGGAGGCGAAGTTTACCGTACTTGACCACATCTATTCGTGCTAAAGGCTACTGCTGACGAAAGCGCAGAAGCAATATTGGATAAGCGGGCGCGAACACGGCGCGCACCTCCGACGTCTTAAAGGCAGCGTCCAGGCAGAGTCTCGACTTCTATATTTTTATGTTATCCAGGCCTTTCCATGGCGCTGATTCCGAATACGGAACTCAAAAAGCGTGAATTTCTCAGAAAACCATCTTTTGGGGCTATTTTGGGAAAACCCGGACGAGTGCTTCTGATGTTATCCTTGTCGAAAGCAAGTATTAACAGGTAAACGCTGTAAGTTCGACTGTGTTGGTCATGTGAAAACACGTCAAGGCTGAGGAGATTTTGTTCATAAGAGGTTGGCGTCCGAGGGAAGGGGGGTGGTCGTCGAGCTCGGATCTGCCTGGACGCTGCCTTTAAAGGCAGCGTCCCGGCAGATTTTGCATTCCCATCTTTTTGCATATTTCCGGCCTTCTCGATCCGTAGATCCTGAATCTGAGCTTTGGAAGGGGTGAAAAGGCCTTTTTCGGGGCGTTTTTTTTCAATTTCCGAAAGGCAGCTCAGACGAGAGTTTTCAAAGGAAAGCCGGGAGGCCCTGGCACGAAGACCCTGCTGCCTGTAATTTTGGCTTTGTATAGCATGCACAATGCGGGGAAGCGGTTGGGGGGTCCCGCGCCCTCTAGCGGACAATACTCGTCCGAACAAGGTATTAATACTTCCTTTCGCTTTCCTTTTGCTCCCCCAAGCCTAATTAGGGGAGCGAAAGGAAGAAGGGGAGCGGCGCTTGGGCCGCCCCCCCCTGGCTTGCAGAGTTCACATTTTCGGCGCGGAGTTGCGGTTTTGGTTCACTTGGAGGGTCTCCAATCCATCTATGTCAAAATCTGAGGTAGGTCAATCTGCCGAGCCGCTGCCTTTAATCCCGCGCTCTGCGGCTAAGGTAGGGTTCATACTGAGCTGCACAAAGCTGCACAGTTCCAGCACAGCGCTCGAACTGTGCTCGAACTGCGCCCGAACTGTGCTGCATGCGCAGTTGGAGTATTTTGACCGTTTCTGACGGTTTTTCTTCTAGGTTTCGCTCATTTCGGGCCTTATTCCTCCACCCCGCTTTTCCTTTTGATGAGTAGAACTCCGAGCGCAAAGCGGGGTTGAGGAATAAGGGATCGTTCATACCGCGCACAAAGGCGGACGAAGGCGAACGAAGGCGGAGAAGAGCCGGACGAAGGCGGACAAAGCCGGACAAAGGCGGACGAAAACGGACGAAGGCGCGTCTTGTCTCGTCTCGTTTCTCTCGACACACACATACACACACTCACACACGCCTCGTCTCGTTTCTCTCGACACACACACACTCACACATGCCTTCGTCCGCCTTTGTGCGGCTTCGTCCGCCTTCGTCCGCCTTTGTCCGCCTTCGTCCGCCTTTGTGCGCGGTATGAACGATCCCTAAGCGCTGTTTTGCTTCGTGTGTCCCATTATGCGCGTTGTTCCGCTCGTTCATGTCTCTTCGTTTTATCCTTGCATAAAAGTATTCCATTTTTCTCCAGGAGGCCGCTGCAGTAATTTCGCAGGCATTATTCTTGAAGAAGAACAAAAATAGTGCAGAAGAGCAGGAAAGTTCATCAATCTGTTGGCCACTATTGGGCTCCTAGCCCCTTTTCGTTTTCATTTCATTTTTTTTCGTTCTTTGTTACCCCGCTTCCCTTATTGTTGTGTAGCGCTTCGAACTTGAAGCGGGGTAGAAGAAAGAGCGAAAAAGCAATGAAATGGAAAAAGAACGCGGCTGAGAGGATACATGGAGCACAACCGCGTTCGTTGGTTTACCCCGCTTCAAGTTCGAGCACAGTTCGAGCGCTGTGCTGGAACTGTGCCGCTTTGTGCGGCTCAGTATGAACCCTGCCTAAGAAGCTGCGTTCGCGCCCAAATTGCGCCTTCGTCGTGCAGCAGCCTATACAAATGTTATGAAAGTCTGATCTGCCTCTAAAATTCGTAGCAACCAAATGAAGACGTCAAAAATTTGAGCAAACTTCTATTGTTAGTGAGCCAATCTATAGGCTAGTATGACGGTGAATATAATGCTCTTACGGTGCCGAGATCTGGCAGAAAAGTGAATTGCCAGTTGGAAGCGCCGGTATTTTGCATGTGCAAATTGCCGGCATTACAGGCGTGCTACCGTCAAGTCGAAGGCAGGCACTGGTCGTAAATTGCGGAGCACGCGCCAAGCGGCCAGACGCTGCTGTAAATACATACAAGAAGCTCTTGTGACATTTCAGTCCCTCTGCGCGTGTTCCGCAATCTACGGCCAGGCCGTAACAACAACTCGACGACATTCGCTAGGCAAATTACCGCCGACTCGAGCACTATCGCAAATTTTGCCGCTGAGCTTCGGCACCGCTTGAGCACTATATCTACCGACAGCACTGTTTACTAAACAGCAAAAAGCGAAATGTAAAGTGAAGGTTTTGTATGTCATTCGGAGAATGAATGTTCATATATGAGATCCACAATTATAGGTGGTCTCGCTAAGTGAGTGACGGGTGTAGATTTTCCCAGGAGTGGGACGATATAACCTGCACGAATGACGGAGTTTACGATAGGTCCACTGGGAAACTGGAATGGAACAGCAAAGGTTGTCATCAAATCGGTGAGTGGATCTTTGGCGGCTAGAGCCAAGTTGTTTGCTCCATGGACAGAATACATATGTGGTGTCAAATCATTCATCCAGCTGAGTTTTTTTTTGCTTATACTGTTCAAGCAATATTAGATTACGTCGTTATGACGTGGTTAATAATACAAATAAGGGTAGATTGGTAATTACAAAGTAGACTTCATTTTCATTTTATAGTGAGGAGAGAATAACTGCATTCCTACTACTTTGAAATTTACTTCGAAAACAGATATTAAGGGCGATATTGCGGAAGAGAAAGTGGATGTCATCTGCGTAAGTGTTGGAACCACTCTAGAACACTCCACGTCGGTTTGGAAAGCTATAACAAGAATATGTGGGACGAAAGTATATAAGGTGCATTAGTGTGCTTTGAGTATATGAACTTCTTGATTCAGCATATTCAGGATGCGTACGAGAAGGCGAAGAAGGCGCAAACACATTGGCTGAGTAGAGGAGAAATTCTTGTCGTGGACACATCAGACAGTGAAGTTAGTTTTCTCTTCATAGGCACCGGCCATTCTTTGTGAAGAACACAAGGCGCTCAAAAGCTCATAAAAGCCTCAAATCTTCAAACTCTGTTCGCACTTCTTTCGTCTCTCCTCACACACGTTCCGAGCTAGCCTAAAAGCGTCAGCACGTTAGCGCGAACGTGCGTGAGGAGTGGTGAGAAAGTGAAGAGAGATTGGAGAAAATCGGGAGCTTTTGGCCATTTTTGAGCTAAGTCTAGGGTGCAATATGATGGTCCCACGTTAGACTTTTTGCAAGAATGCAAAATCAAATCAATGTTTCTTGTCTTAATTCTGTGTTACCTTGATTTCCTGTTCGATTTTGATTTTTTAATGGTGCACCGCGAGTGTATGCATGAATAAATAAATAAATAAATAAATAAAGGCGGTGTCCGGGAAGGTTGAAGGCTCTGGAGCATTTGTGAACATATGACAGAAGGTCCTTGGTAACTACATAAGCGCAAAATCGAACGTAAGCTCTGAAGAGATAAAAAACTTTTCAAAGTGGCTCAAATTACTCTCTTGGGCACAAGTCCCTGCTGCGGTTCCTCTTCTTCAACGTGCATTTTCGGAATCGCGCAACATTAATTCAAGTATGCGAAAAGTCCTGTTGAGATTTTGCTCGGGTCAGTCCTTAAAAATCATGCAAATTTTGTTCCCATGCCTTGGGCCAAACCGAGCATCTCAACACACATCAGGACCCGTATGAGTGCCTGCGCAGGCGGGTCCCGTTGACATAATGTGCAAAATCTTTTGCCTTTGCACCAGTGGGCCTGATTGGTGGGAACCGTTGGGTTCACTACGGGTATAGGCTGCGCAGGGACAATTAGGTTTTATGTCGTTGTGCACGAATTTGAACATTTATAATAATTCTTTCCAGTCAAATGCGGCATTCTAAGATAAATCTTTCCAGTTAAATGCGAAGTATGTTTTTCTGGTGGTTCATCCTGATATATACCACCTTGACGAGGCGTATACCAACATCTATAAGGAAGTCATAGCTCGTGGGTGTACTTCAGTCGCCATTCCTGGACTGGGATGCGGTTTGTTTCATCTTTGTTTTTATGAGCTTGTCACCTGTTTGTCTTATCAGGTCGTATCACCAAGCTATTGCCAAAATCATGCAAGCATTGCTGAATGAGAGGTTTTTGCCTCTGATACGATGCACCCGTGACGTTAAAACTCTTTTTTGGGTAGGGAAGCGGTGGAACCTTCCAAAATTTTGCAGGATGTTTGAAATTTTTTGACTGACTTATGGCCGCTTATTGAACGTGAAAAAAACTAGTGTCCGATTATAATCTGTTACTAAGCCTATAATGCTAGTACATCACGTCAGCTTTGTTCGTCTGGAAGTCTATTTTCAGGGTTGATTGGCAACAGTGTTCATGCTAGTTGTCATAAAGCTTGCGAAGTACTTCATCGGACCGCCAGTGACACGTTGGGCAGCATTCAGGTATGCTTTTCAGAATACGAGAAATGTGGGACACCTTTATTTTATAGTTGGTTGTTTTCATCGACATAAAAGAAAAAGTAGCACGACAATTCGCTGTACAGTTCCAGGCTGAATTTGGTAATAATATTGTGTATCGTCCACGTTCACAATTATCATATTTTTTCTAAGGTCTGGGCGATTCTGAGGAACGTGATCAACCTGGAAGCAGCTTTGACGTGTGCACGGAAGCTCCAGCTGCGGTAAGTAGCGTATGAAGTTGGTGATTCACATAGGTTGCGATGGATAGCATTGTAATTTCATCAGTATACCAGTTTTGCGGCTCATTTATGTAAGGCCCACACAGGTGTTGGACGATGACTGCGCCGTTTGTTTGTGTCCATTATCTGAAGGCGGCGAAGTGCGCGAATTACCATGCAAACATCAGTTCCACATCGCATGCTTCAAGGTAGGTGCAGATCTAAAACATTTTTTGCCTATGTTCATTGAGTGTCACACAGTGCCATCATGATAATATTCGAAAGATCTTGATCCATGCTCGTCTTTTCAACAGTTTCAAGATTTTTTGGTTTTAGGAATATTTGAGAAGTCCTAGTTCTAAGAAGAGATGCCCTGTATGTCTCCGGTACTTTGAGCTACCGCTAGGGAATCAACCTGTTGAAGCACAAATGCACATAAGAAAGCTCAAGCACATCAAATTACCAGGTAAGTATGTGAGTTTTGGTGACACGGTTGTTTGTGGCTTTCGCATCATAGTACTATTTTTTGTCGTGTTATGTATGAACTTCTACATAATTTGCGCTTATGGAAGTCAAAATGGATGACATGACTTTTTTCAAGGCTATGAAGACGCTGAATTTGTCTACGAAATCTCTTACAGCGTTCCCAGTGGGATCCAGGATGTGAGTACATCACTCACTATTGCAATATATTAATCATTTTTCTCTCTAGGCAAGCCATCTGAGGCCTGGAAAGCCGTACAGAGGTACGGATCGAAGAGCGTATGTGCCTGGGACTCCAGAAGGTACCAAGGTGTGTTTAATCTCTGTGCACATATCATCGGAATGGTCTTTAGAACCGTCCAAAAAACATTAGAAATTGTTTATGAAAGAAAACACCATCAGTATAAGTGAATTTCAGGTGCTCCGCCTATTGAAGTTTGCATTTGATCGACGGCTCATATTTACGGTGAGATTTGACCTACAGTAGTACAATTTTTGTAGCGGCGCTGCAGTGCCGCCTGCACCAGGAGAGCGAGTGTATTTGGAATAATTGATTGTACTATACTGTCTAATGTCTGACAGCTTTGTGGTCGACCTGGAAATATTCTCCCATTTTTATTGCCAGCTCTTTATCGCACGTGTTGGAGCATCAGCTTAGTACAGGGCGATTGGCATATCTACGCTGTCATTAAAAGAATGGTTGTGATTGACGCAGCTCGCATATTTTTTTCGTGACCGTTATCAATTAAAAAGCTTATCAGTCTAATTTACAGACCGGTGACATCTACTAACGAGAAGCTTCTATAATTATATTCTAGGTTGGCGATTCAATAACAACTGGAGCTAGGAACACCGTGGTATGGAATAACATCCATCATAAAACCAATATCACTGGTGGACCACAAAGGTAATTCAGAATTTGTTTGGTGGGTACCACGTGATTAGGGGTAGACGAGTTGTGGAATAAGGTTTATTCGCACGGGCGTAGATTATTCGAGAAGAGGTCGAGGTGCTCCGGTGTGGACCGGGGAACTCCTAATACATTCGGAGGCTCCTTATATACGAAGGAAGGCGGAGCTGAACCGAGTACAGGGTACAATGTACAGGAGTTGGTGCTTGAAAGGAGATGCCGCCGATTGGCTACACTCCTGGCGCACAGATACCACTCACTCTTGAGCGATTAGATACTCAAGAGCATAGTTACGATAGGGGGAGTGATGGATCTTATCCCCTTCACTTTGAGGCCAAACTCCCGATGACCCCCCTTCACCTGGGCTGAGATTGGTATTCTACTCTGAGAATATGATAAAAATCGTTATTAAAAGGTTTTGCAGGCTAAGTACCTCAAACAACAAGCACACTCATAAATTTACTAAAGAAACGGTATTTATATTTTTTATATTATTTATTTATCCTCGTAGCATTTTGGAGAGCAGAAAATGAGGACGCAAAATCAGTTAATTTTTGAAGCACATAAAATCCGTCATATCTCGCGGGCACAGAAGACGAATGGTATACAGCATGTTAGGGCTTCTTTGCTTTTCGGCTCTAGAAATCATTTGCTCCGGTAACCGATAAAAGCCAATACATTGGTGGAGCCGGATTGGAGCAAGCTAATAGTAAATATCTCCACCCCATTTTTGAAAACTGGTCTGTTTTTTCGCCCAGCAACCTGTATACCATTCGAAAGCTCAGGAAAAGGGGATTCGATCTAGACCGTCGACTTCTTTCTAGCCCCCCTCTACCGGGAGATACACCGCATTTTATCTGAAAAGATGGTCATTTTCAACAGCAGATTTCTGCCAAATGAAGACCTAATCACTGTTGATTATCTATCTGTGTTAAAGAGCAAGTCTTCATTAACAAACGTAGACCGTCGACTTTCTCGTAGCATTCATTTGGAGAGCAGAAAGTGAGGGCACAAAATCAGTTAATTTTTGAAGCACATAAAATCCCTCATATCTCGCGGCACAGAAGACCTAGAAAAAAGTCGACGGTCTACGTCGATTCTCCATGATCTCAGCTTTCGAATGGTATACAGCATGTTAGGGCTTCTTTGCTTCCCGGCTCTAAAAATCATTTGCTTCGGTGACCCGTAAAAGCCAACACATTGTATAGATCGTCCCGAAAGTTTTTGCGCACGATTTTCAAGAATTCATAACTTTTGATTTTTCCGACCGATTTGACTGCTTTCATTTTTATTTGAAAGGGTAAGTCATGCTCTTTATAAAGACATCTCAGCTGCTTAGTAATGATCATCTGTTACATAGATAGAGGCTCAAAACCAAAATCATTCAAAATGTGAATTTTTGTGTAGGGTCATAAAAAATCAGAAACTTGCAACAAAAATCGGAGCAGTCGGTATTGTAGGTTCTTTCACCAGCTCTTTCTAACAGTGCAAAGTTTGCTCCGATTGAGCGTCTCCATGAAAAGTTATGATTTCCGAGCAAGCAATACAAAAAGGCGATTTTGATTTATTTTAGCATTTTTCAGGGAAATCATAACTTTTCATGGAGACGCTCAATCGGCGCAAACTTTGCACTGTTGTAAAGAGCTGGTGAAAGATCCTACAGTACTGTGCTCCGATTTTTGCAAGTCTCCGATTTTTTGTGACCCTACACAGAAAATTAAAATTTTTACCATTTTTCTTCTATCGCTCCTATCTATGCAACAGATGACCATTACTAAGCAGCTGAGAAGTCATTATAAAGAGCATGACTTACCCTTTCACATAAATGTGAAAGTAGTCAAATCGGTTGGAAAAATCAGAAGTTATGAATTTTGAAATTCATGCGCAAAAACTTTCTGGACGACCTAATAAGAGCGAGGTGGAGCAAGTTAATAGTAAATGTGCTGTGGATTGACATCGTTATTAGCACTAACGGGAACGTGAGCGAACGCGTCTATTTGAGCGTCTTTATCGTTGTTATATGTTTATGTTTTTTTTGGTAAAAAATGCGCTTTTGATTGACAGTTATGCCATCATTATTCACACTCAAAAAACTATGGGAGATTGATAAATTTCCACACCTTCACACAAAAACGTGCCCACTGGAATCTATACTCTGTAAACCTAGTGCTGAAGAAGGTCACTACCATGAAAACGCTCTAGACTCACCTTACCTAATTTGTAGAGAAGGTGGTTGGGTTCAATGAATCAAAAACTTTAAGACATTCAGAAGAATAACATGTTATTAAATTATCCCTCAATGTTTTGGAAAGGTTGGCAGTTTGAAGAGGAAACGGCAGGCAGAATACTTTACAAAATCGCAGATGACTCGCATGTGTTCCAGTTCAATAGCGAGGCAGAAGGAGAATCTTACGCCGACGAAAATGTTGTCGACATTGACACAGAGTTACAATTGAGCGAAACTCTCTGATTTCCTGCATAAGGAATCCAAGCAGATTGTCTAGTTTCAGTGAGGAAATGTCCAGGAAGTCCATTGCTGATCTTCAGGTTGCTGAAGAATTCAAGGCTGCTAAATTCACAAACATGGATATGAACAAAAGGAAGGTGTTAGTACAAAGCATAGTTACTGCACTTAGATCCCGGCTGGAGTGCGAACCCAACTCTGTGCTTTATGCTTTTGGAAGTTATTCGCCTTGTGACATTATGACCTATGATATTGAAAAAAAACCAACGCGCAGCATAGTATCTACTTTTTTTCGGCTATTCCGCAGATGCTGTTGAAGAAGAAGTTGAGCAGCTTTCTCGTCAGTTAACAGGAAGTATGCCAGAGGAGGTGAATCCAGAGTTCGAAAAGGCCCAAAAAAGTATGCACTATTTCCTTCTCGTGTTGCGAAAGCATATGCGATCTGGCTCTTTTCCCACTACTTACCGCAGAAATCTGAAAGACTTACTAGCAAAGCTAGTTTCCATTCCGTCTAGCACGGCAGAGGTGAAGAAAGAAATTTTCTATCTACTCTGTTATCAGAACACAACGCAGAAGTCGTACAACGATAGAGCATCTAAGCAAATACTCAAGATTTGTCAACCTTCTACTAAACACATTGTTACCTAAAAACTTCATTCAAAGGATTGGTATAAATGGTCCAGACAGGCTGTTACCGTATGACTTTTTGAAACCTAAAAGATGGTATGAAGAAACTGGTCACCTACCTGCTGACTTCCTGATGCTACCAGAGGGCCAAGAAAAAAATCACAAAAGTGCTTAGAAGAAGAAGAAAGTTTCATATCCATTTTTGACTTAGAACGCTTTGCACGCAATTCTACTTCCACTCCGATGACCTTTTGGAGGAAGAAGAAGATTTTTCAGGCACCGAATTTGTTGTCTCTGACGTTAGCGATAGTGATATTGTTGATGATGATGCGCAGAAAATGAAGTTGTTCCTAACTTGTACTTCTTTTGGGATAAACCTTATTGCTTTTTTTTTGTTGATGCAGTGAAACAGGAGCACAGATCTTCATAATAGATTTTTTTAGAATTTTTAAATTTCTTTTGAAAATTTTTAAATTTTTTTCAATTTGTGCCTAAATAAGCTACAAATTAGAGCTTTTCATACCACGCTTTCTTACATTTTCTCTCTTCCTCCCCCCCCTGGACTCACATACCCCCTTCACCTTGGAAGGTCGGGAACAGCCGAGACCCCCTTCACCTGGGGAGATCCCGGCTCCCCCTATCGCACCTATGCTCAAGAGTGAGTAGCTCACAATTTAGCCAACGGGGATTCCATAGGCTATCTAAAATATAGAGTTCATTGGTTGATACAGAAATCATCAACAATTCGTGTTGCCAAGTCACGAACTCGATTATTAACACTTATTTTAGATTTGGCTACCCTGATCCTGATTATCTCAACAGAGTGAAAGAGGATTTAGCTGCAATGGGAATATCAGAGGATATGCTGCCAGAAGAAATGGAACTGCCTCTGTAGTCGTCCTAGTCTTCCTTTTTGAAAAGCATTTTGTGTAAAACTTGCCAAATACTTGTAAATGTCAAATATAAAGAATCTCACGAGCTTAGTGCTTACTATCCAGCCTAGACTTCCCCTCTGATTTTCGTTTTCCAAAATTTCCTCTCTGAAAGAATCAATTAGCACTTGGTGTCTATGATATGCGTGGATACAGTAGTAAGGGTAGGATTTTATTGTGAGATGGTTAATTCTGCTTGCCATAGAGCGGAGATTGCTAGCCAACAAGAGACAGCGGCATCCAAGCCATGCTAGATCGACCGCGCAGTGTTGTTTAAGTATGGAATGCTTATGAGGCATGCAAAACAGCCGTCCTCTTTTGGTCGTTAACCAGTAATGCCCAGTTTGTTAGTTGGTTGATTCTAAGCGGATGTGCGATGCACTGGCTGAATTAGGAGAGGAAGGAAATGAAGATTACTTGGTAGGGTCACTTATCATTCGATCGGCGTGAAAACACCGGCATGAGATCGTTGCAGGTTTGTAATTGCATGCACAGCTTCATCGCATGTCTCGCGTTCCAGGTATGCTGGTTTATAAGAAAAGTCTGTTGAGTCGCAGATTCTTTGTGAAATTTGTGAGGGAGTCTAAGCTCAGTCTAAAGGGTTCGAAATGTTGGACGTGTTATACAGCTTGACATAGGTGTAAAATGCGCCGATGCAGTTTCATCCCGGATTAGGCAAAACATTCTGCGCTGGGGGCTTCGCGATCGCATAGCGCTTGCATTTTGCCAAGCAAAGACAGAGGGACCCGTCATACTTCGCCGAAAAAACCCAAAAGCGTCCAAAAAACCCAAAAAAGCCCGAAAAAGCCCAAAAAGCGCCAGAAAGAGCCGGAATGTAGAAACGAACTTTTGGTAGAATTCTGCCATTATCTTGTCAAGCGGACGACAGAAAATGACAAAAAGGCTCGATTGCGAAGTCAACACACATGCCTTAGCGCCAAAACGTGCGAGAAGTGTTCCGGCTCTTTCTGGCGCTTTTGGGCTTCTTTGGGTTTTTTCGGGCTTTTTTTGGGGTTTTTTGGGCTCTTTGGTGGGTACCAAGTGATTGGGGGGTAGACGAGTTGTGGAATAAGGTTTATTCGCACGGGCGTAGATTATTCGAGAAGAGTCTATAATACAGTCGGGGGCTCCTTATATACACGGATACGAGGCGGAGCTTGCCCGGGTACAAAGTACAACGTAGAAGAGGTACATGGCTTAAAAGGAGTTGCCGCCGTTCGGCCACACTCCTAGTGCACAGGTGCCAATCATTCTTGAGTGATTAGATACTCAAGAATGAATGGCGTACAATTGAGCCTATGGGAATCCCATAGGCGATGTGAAAAAATGGATTGATTAGGTTGATGATATAGAAATCATCAACACTCCGGGCGACTAGGGAAAAAAATCAGGTGAAGTTGATGAGACACATGTAATCGTTATAATGCAAGCATTGGTGATAGGATGAATCAAATCGTATATCAATTACAATTACAAAAATTTACACGCACATCAATGACAATTTTATAATTTTTGGGACACAAAAAATAGTGAAGGCTAACGCCGCTGCGATTGCGATGGTAGCTACGACGAGCATCTTCCATGACGAGAGTGCGACGCTGATGATGTGTCCAATGTCGGGATAGTTGTAGACATTGACGTATGAAGCTTCCTCGCTAGCATTCGTGAAGAGTACTCCGTTTTCGTGTGGGTGGTATGCCAGGATACCAGAGATGTTGAATACGTGGCTCTTCGTTCCGCATTTCAGTGAACATTTGTCGACATATTTAGCGGTGGTCGCTTGAAGTATAGCAACTGTCTGCATTGTGTTTTGATCGCAGAAGGCCGCATAGGTATTCTGCGTGCACAGTATCTCCACCATTGTTGGGTGCGGTGAATGGCAAGAGAAGGTAAGTCGTGCGCCGGTTATGCAGTTGTAGCATCCTTGAATCGGTGAAGCCGTGATGTCACAGTCTTCGTTGTTGACAACACTCGCTGTATTCCATTCCGCAGTCGTGCTGATAGTGACGTCGACTATGGATTTGTGGCTGACTCCAAGTACTCTTCCATGAGCTTCTTGTAGATGTAAGAATGAGGAAGATAGTGGCAGTCTGCTGTCCAATGATGTGGTCAGATCCGATATGTTCGTGTTCTTGCAGATACAGTTAGCCTGGTCATCCGTCGGGTAACATTTGCAAGTGTCTTCTACATGGCAAAGCGAAAGGTTTCGAGAGCTCTCCATCGTTGGGCATCTGAGCGCGAATACGTCGTCGTTGTCGACCAAGGCAGTTTCCGCTTTAGTGGTGTTGACGGCTTGCAAAAATACAGAGCTCAGTAGCGGAATCGTTGGCGTTGTCACGAATTCCAGTGTTAGGTTGGCGTCCTTTTGAGTGTGAGTAGTCTGCGCGGTGACTGTGGCTATATTCGTTTCTCTTCGTCCATTAACACTTGTGTAAGTGTATTTGATGATTGCCGATTCATCCCAAGTCGGGCAATGGAACACTTGGTAAACTGTTTCACTTTGCGGTTTTCCATATGAGCGGGAGAAGAGGCATCCAGGTAGAGGTAGAAGGCAACCACATCCGATGCTTCCACAAGACGAGGTGCACCTTGAGTATCCAGGAAATTCGTAGGTGTTGTGAAGTTCAGGTATGTAGGATCGTTGGCTAGTGTGAGCACATGTGTTGGATGAGCATGATCCAGAGAAATGGCATCGTTTTGCTGACTCGGTCACTATCTCGGCATCTCGGGTGTAGAACAAGACTACGGGATTGCACTGGAGTACGACGTGTTGGAGTTGTATCTCCATGCTGCCAACTGTCTTGTTATCATGTTGAATCCTGAAGCAAGCTTGAGGTCGGTGCTCACTCAAGGTTATCCTGTTTTCGATAGTGTAGCGACAGTTGAGCGTGTTAATGATCCTCATGCAAATGGTGTTCCTTGACGTGAGTGTGTGAGTGTACTGGCATGAATTGACTCCTGCGACGAGACATGTTGCAATAGCCACGAATGTGATCATCTTTGATTGGATTGGTAGAGATCGGGATTGTTTTCCTAGAAGCTCGGAAAGTCGATCATTCGCAGGAGCAACAGGATTTTCCGTTGGCATCTCGTTCTCGCTAGTTCGGCACAAAAGACGTTTTCCTTGAAGTCCAGTGTAGCAAATGAACCAGATGAGCAGCATCATAAGGTATGCGCAAACTGCTGTGATTGCTACCGCAGTGTTGGGGGCGCAGTGTGGATTTCGAATCAAGTCTGCACAAACTGTGCATTTGATCATGTCGCAAATGTCTCTTGGTGGGCAGATAATGGTGTCGGAGTACTGTGTTGCTCCGATCATGGTGCGCCATTGAACTCGATGTTCTGTTGTGCGGTACTTCGGCGGGAGTGCTATTTCGTTTATTCCTTTCTTCGTCGAGATTGTCAGACAATCCTTGTAGTTGAGACATAGTTGTGATTGTGATTCCGAAGTCGTGTTAACTTTTACTCCATGTTCAGAGCAGGATAGCACATTTGCGGATGCCGTATCAATGAGAAGAAGAGCTGTCAGGCATATTGTTATCATCACTGACTTGCTGATTTGTGAAGCGCTTCTCTTTATGGTGGAGGAATTAGCAGATGCGTAGTCCACAGGCTTTTTCGCAGCTCTCTGTGGTTGCTTGCGAGGTTCAGGTGCAGTTGTCGGTTTCTTCCTGAGCGCTTTTTTAACCTTGGCCACTATTCCTCCTTTTTGTGGCGTTGGATCCTGTCTCTCATCTTCGTGTTCTATCGTTGAACGAATTTCTAGGGGGACTATGCGATTGAGAGGTCTTTGAATCTCTCTTCCAGATGTGGTTCTCAAAATTGCGCTTCTGATTTCTCCATCTTTGCTTGGTACGAGTTGTGTTATAACTGCCATTGGCCAGTATCCTCTGTTCAACTGAGAGTCTTCGTCAAGCAGCACAACATCTCCAACTTCTGGTTTGCGATTCGTGGTTTTTCCATTCTTGAAGACATGGTGACGGTCGCGAAGTTCGAGGAGGTAGTCGTGTTTCCAAATACTCCAGAACTTTTTCGTTATCTTCTCGGTCTCCAAAAGAGCTGTTTTGGCTTCCTTTTGTGATGAGAGTTCTGGACCTATCCGGTAATCTGGATCGTGTTGATCGTCGTCGGCGGGTGTAAGTTGAGTGCTTCCAAGCCGAACGTCCTTATAGATGAAGTCCACTGGTCTCAAGACTTGGCAAGAAGGGTCGTCTTCGCCTATGTGAGTCAATGGCCTTGAGTTGACGATGCTTTCGATTTCACATAAGGACGTTTGAAGAAGTTCGTCTGTTAATTTCCGTCGTCCGATAGTCTTCTGCATTGCTCTTTTCACTAGTCCAACCATTCTTTCCCACACTCCTCCCATCCATGGTGAAGCTGGAGGAATGAAGTACCAGCTGATGCGATGTTCGGCGAGGTATAGTGATAAGTGGTCGGATTCATCATTGTTGACGTTGTTGCTGAGTATCAGTTCGCTGAGGCGGAAATTGGCTCCATTGTCGCTAATGATCTTTTCCGGTACTCCTCGTCGTGCGATGAATCTCTTGAATGTGAGAAGAAAGCTTTTTGCAGAGAGGTCTGTAGCCACTTCCAGGTGTATCAGCCGAGTGACTAAGCATGTGTATAGTGCAACGTAGCGCTTCTCATCTTGTCCATTTGGCACCTTGATCAGTATCGGTCCCATGTAGTCGACTCCTGTGTAGGCGAATGGTTTTGCTTCAGTAACTCTTTCTCTTGGAAGAGGGCCCATATCTGGATACGTGAATGGTGACGAATTGAATTTCTTGCAAATAGTGCAAGTTCGCAGGACTTTCTTGCAGAGCACTCTGTCTCTCGGTATCCAAAATCGTTGTCGAAGCTCGCATAAAAGCTGGTTGCTTCCGCAGTGAGCCAAGTGTCGATGAGTGTTTTCGGCGATCCTAAGTCCCAGCAAGCTTTGTTTCGGTATATACATGGGATTGGCTATGTCCGATTGGATTTGAGCATGTTGTATGCGTCCGCACCTTCGTAGGATTCCTTCTTTGTCGTATGTAGTTTTGAACTGCTTGTTTTTAGAGACCAGAGCTGTCCCGTAGGTCCGCTGTTCTTGCAAGACTATATGTTTTTCAGCGAGAATAAGCTCGGCTGCGTTCGGTAATCGTGATGTACCTTGATCTTCTTCTGCCATTTTGAAGCGGCTATTCTTGCTTGCCATGCGGATGAAACGCAGGCAGTATGCCACAACTCGCTTCAATTTGGGGTAGCTGCTTATCGTAGCGACTGGCCAATCAGAATTGCTTTTGCTAAGATCTTCAGTAGTTTGATGAGTGAGCATTTCGCACTCGTCATCGTCACTGTCTTTGACGTCACTAATGGGACGTACTGGCCATTCTTTATTGGGGTGATTGAGCCAACTTGGTCCTTTCCACCATCTGCAAGCGGTGAATTCTTGCTTGTTGATTCCTCTTGTTGCGCAATCCGCTGCATTTTCTTCTGTTGGGACGTGGAAGAAGTTGAGTTTGGCTGTTTCTCTGATCCTTTCTGCGGCGAAGCTGATTTTTTGAACTAGTGTGGTTACAATCGGTGGAAGCTTTTTGCTGCTAGCTATCCATGATAGTGCGATCGTTGAGTCGCTGAAGAGGTTGACTTCTGTGAAGTTTATTCCGCATTTTGACATGGTTGTTTCGGCTACAGATAGTCCGAGGAATATTGACAGCAGTTCTAGCCTCGGAATGGTTTGTTCCTTCTTGATGGGCGCCACTTTCGCTTTTGCCGTAAAGAGTGATGTGCTCTTCATACCATTCTTCGCTGATGTAGTCGTATAAAGACAGCAAGCGTAAGCTCGCTTGGAACTGTCAACAAATATAGAAAGTATATATTTGGCCTCGGGAGTCTTGTTAAGCACTGTGCGTGGTATGCCTTTCTTGAATCCGACGATGTCACCCTGGATGGCCTTCCATCGTTGAATTTGCTCCTCAGGAAGAATGGTGTCCCATCCTAACTTTAGCTTGTGTATATCCTGTAGGAATATCTTTGCCGGTATCATCAGTGGTGTGAGCAGTCCGAGTGGGTCGAAGCAGAATCCGTTTATCTGGCTGAGTACAGATCTTTTGGTGATCTTGACTTGCTCTTTGTCTGCACATTCCATGATCAAGGTGTCATCGTCAGCTTTCCACTTGATTCCGAGCACTTTGAGTTCGCAGTTTTTTGCTCTATCCACGTCCTTGATTTGTGCGTTCACTTCAGCAGAGTCTGACAAGTAGTCGCGAAGATTCATGCCGATGGAAGAGAACACTTGTTTTGAAGAAGTGTATTTCTCGATCAGTTCTTGCGGATTGTTGCCTTCTAGTAGCACATTGTCGACATACAGAGATTTGGATAGTTCCTTTCCAATTGGGGTATCCTCCTCTTCGATGTGCTTGAGTATGGACTGATTCAGTATGGCTGGGCTTGCATTTATTCCAAAAGGTACTCTACAGAAGCGATAGTACTTGACGTTTTCGCCTTCGGGTGGTGTATCCAAGTTCTTGATCCACAGAAATCTCGTTGCATCTCGGTGATTTTCGGGGAGACGTATTTGTAGAAAAGCCTTTTGGATGTCGGCCACCATTGCATGTTTGTACGTGCGGAACAGCAGTAGAACTTCATGGATTAGGGGTGTGAGGGCATGTCCTTCAAATATGACGTCATTGAGACTCAGCTCGTTTCTTCCGTGAGATGAAGCATCGAAGACAATTCGAAGTTCGGTTGTCTTTCCAGGTGTCCAGACATGTCTATGTGGAAGGTAAAAAGAAGTTACTCCAGTTGGTTGTGAGGTACATTCCTCAATGATTCCTTCCCTGGTGTAGTCTTCGATCGTGGTGTTGTAAAGTTGAAGCTTTTTTGCATCACCTCGAAGCGTTCGAAGGAGTGCCTGTAGGCGGCGAAAAGCAATGTTGAAATTGTCTTTGAGTTTGCTGACGTTTTCATTGAAGGGGAATCCTGCTGTGATTGTGCCTTCTTTGATAATGATTGTTCTTCTATAGGTATCCATGAACTTGATTATGGATGCTTCATCGGGATCGCTTTCGGTCTTCAAACCAAGAGATTCGAGCTCATAGAGGTGTTTGATGTCCTGTTTGTAATCTTCCCTTGGTGAAACTGCTGGAGTTGCAACCACTAGTGAGCTCCCATAGACTTCAGTAGTGCTTGTTGTTGCTGTGACCAAGCTCGTTCCTGATATAGTGTAACCGAAGATGGTAGGGGTGAGGATTAGTCCCGAAGGAAGCGTCAGTACTGGCGTGCTGTGATCTATGACCGTATTGAGGATGTCCTGGCCTATGAGAATATCAGGCGACACGCTAGTTCTTGCGAGCGTTTGTTGTGCTATGTCCAGTTTTTTGATTGAGATGAACTGAAGATCGGCGTCAGTGAGATGTGCCGTGTCCAAACTGGTGGTGAGTTTTTGCTTCGTGTGTACGGCCATCTTCTTCAGTTTGTTAGGACCTCGCAAACTTTTCAAGGTGATCAGCACCTCGTGGGAGTCGAAGACTTCTTGCAGTTCACCCATTCCGGATGTGGTGAATGACGTTGTTCGGACGATCGGAAGCTTATATGTCTCGCTAAGGTTTGACTTGATGAAACTTCTTTGCGCTCCTGAGTCCAGTAGTACTGTAATAGGTTGGTAGTCCCATTGTTCTTCATTGAAGATCATCGCTGTTGCGATTTGAAGCACACACTGATTGTGAACGATTGGAGCTTTGTCCGCAATGTAGCTTTCACATCCATTTTGTGAGTTTTGCACAGCTCGTATTTCGTTGTTCGGTGGTCGACTCCGTTGGCTGGAGTGTTGCTGTGATCGACCTGGTAGTGGCGGTTGCCTTGCCACATTTGCAGGTCGGCGTGTTGCTGCTATGTATCCATTGTCTTGCTTCTTTGCATCTGAGAGGCAAAGAGATCCATGGTGCGAGTCTTTGCATTTAGGGCACACTCCAGTATTCGGGCAGTCTTTGGAATTGTGATTCTTAGCAAAACACCTCCAGCACACCCTTTGATTTCTCGCTTCGAGGCGTCGAGCTTCCGGTGTGGTATATTTCTGACAGGTGTAAGGGGAATGCGGTTGTCCACATAAGCACAAGCGTCTTGGTTTCGAGAACTGTCTTTCCTCTTCCCATCTTGTTCTGTTGTTCCTTCCATTTTGATGAGTGTCCTGGCGATGGCTGGTTGGGAAAAGGGTCTCAGTTGTGAGCGAAGTCGCTTCACGTAGTGAAATTATGCTGTCGATAGCTTCCAGGATTTCACTAACATCGAAGGAATCATCTTGTATTGCTTCTTTTTGGATGGCGGTTGTACAGATGGATTCGGGAAATTTGGAGAAGATCACTCGACGCCAAAGTCTGTCTGCGTTCATCTTTGCTCCCGTTTGTTCAAGATGAATGATTCTCGAATTGATTGCTTCAAAGGTTTCTCGGCAACTTTTCGGGTTGTCTGACGCTCTCGGAAGTTTTTCGATCTCGTTTATGAGTATGTCTGCCATGTTGGCAGAGCGATCGAAATGTTTTTTCAGGATATCTATCGCTGTTTCATACTTTTCTCCAATGACAGGAATGCAGCTGAGAGTGGTTGCTGCTTTTCCCTTTAACGCTTGTTTTAGAAACAGGAATTTGTCTGTATCCGATAGTTCCTCGTCAGTGTGGATGAGAGATTCGAAGACGGTCCAGAAGCTATTAAATTCTCGGAAATTGCCTGAGAACGTAGGAATTTCCAGCAGAGGTTTCCGAATTTTGATCTGCCTTTCATTACGTTCTGGAATCCAAGCTTGTCCATTATCACTACTTGGTTGACTCGGTATGCTCGGAGCATCGCAGTGCAGTAGTGCGTCTTGTTCTTTCAGTTCATGCTGCCTGAACTCTATCCTTGTCCGCCACTGCACTACAATCACTTCCAGTTCAAGTGACTCCATCTCTAGGTGCTTACTGAGCTCCATCATCAGTTTGTCTCTTTCTTTTTCCTCATTCCGTGCGCTAATGTACTCAATCGCGGAGTTGATTTGCGTCTCTTGAAGCTTCACTGCGTTGTGTAGAGAGTTGAGAAGATTGGTTATCAGTCCCGTTTTCTCTTTTATGTACTGTTCACATTCTTCTTTCAGTGTGGGGAATGTGAAGGGGACATCAATATTTTCGATTTGTGACTCGTGGGATTTCACGAGTTTGCAGGCGTTGTTAATTCTGATCTTGAAAAGCTGGAGCGATGCCATTTTCTTTTCTGCTGCACTGGGTAGAGTCGTGCGCTGGTGTGGTAATTCCAAGCGTTACAATTTGGGAGTGTGTATCCTCCTTGTTGATCGCTTTGGCTTGAGGGCGACAGCAGGGCTGGCCGATAGCTATCCTAACTGGTTGCAAGGAAGCTTTCTAGTGAGCTGGCAAGTGGGTGCCGAGCGTCTACTAGCTGTCAGCAAGCGCGCCTGGTTGGCTTGTACGCTGTACTGGACGGTAAGGTGTTGGAACCTGTCCCGTGGATGTAACGATCCAAAGCTCAAGATCGGTGAACCGACCGTGAATAAGCTTGGAAAGTTGAGATTTCTTTGCTAACTGTGGATGGGCCAGTCAGTCAGCTAGAAAATCTCCTTGCTAAGCTATGGATATGACCTGATAGCTTCGCAAGTGACTCTTGTTTGTGAAAGTGGTGAACCAACAATCACAGAGTCTTTTTGGCTGGTTGAGGCCAAAAAAGATCGAGGATTTCTGTTGCTAACTGTGGTGGACCAGTCAGTTAGCTAGAAAAACCTCTTTGCTAGGTTATGGATATGACCTGATAGCTTCGCAAGATGACTCTTGTTCGTGAAAGTGGTGAACCAACAATCACAGAGTCTTTTTTGGCTGGTTGAGGCCAAAAAAGTTCAAGGATTTCTGTTGCTAACTGTGGTGGACCAGTCAGTTAGCTAGAAAAACCTCTTTGCTAGGCTATGGATATGACCTGATAGCTTCGCAAGATGACTCTTGTTTGTGAAAGTGGTGAACCAACAATCACAGAGTCCTTTTTTGACTTTAGGAAAGCCAAAAGTTTCGAGGAGTTCTTGTACTAACTGTGGTGAACCAGTCAGTTAGTTAGAAAACCTCTGCTAAGCTATGGATATGACCTGATAGCTTAGCAAGACTCGTATTAGTGAAAGTGGTGGACCAACAATCACTAGAGTCGAATATTGGCTAATTAGTAGCCGAGAGTGCGAGGAGTCTGTCGCTTACTGTGGTGAACCAGTCAGTTAGCTAGAAACCTCTACTAAGTTGTGGATAGGACCTGACAACTTAGTAAGACTCTTGATCGTGAGAGTGGTGGACCAGCAATCACGAGAGTCGAATATTGGCTATAGTAGAGCCTGCCACGCGGGTCTTAGGCCTTGATTTCTCGTGTCCTTAGAAGGATTCGCCGAGAAATGCAAGGAAAATCACTGGCCGATGCACCAATTTGGTGGGTACCAAGTGATTGGGGGGTAGACGAGTTGTGGAATAAGGTTTATTCGCACGGGCGTAGATTATTCGAGAAGAGTCTATAATACAGTCGGGGGCTCCTTATATACACGGATACGAGGCGGAGCTTGCCCGGGTACAAAGTACAACGTAGAAGAGGTACATGGCTTAAAAGGAGTTGCCGCCGTTCGGCCACACTCCTAGTGCACAGGTGCCAATCATTCTTGAGTGATTAGATACTCAAGAATGAATGGCGTACAATTGAGCCTATGGGAATCCCATAGGCGATGTGAAAAAATGGATTGATTAGGTTGATGATATAGAAATCATCAACAGGCTCTTCGGGCTTCGTGGGGCTTTTTCGGGCTTTTTTGGGCTTTTTTCGGCGAAGTATGACGGGTCCCTAAGGAGAATGAAGAAGTTGGATTATCAGCACTACAGGATTACTGCAGCTCCGAAACGGCGCGAACCGTTGCGGGTGGACCCCCGCCAACCGGGTAGGGGGACGAAAGCCGCCAGCTTCGGTCGCCTGCGCGGACTGCTGGTCCTGGAACGACATGCAACAAAGTTGCGAAAGGACCAGTTAGCCTCGAAAGTCGGCTCAAACTGGCGGCTTTTGTTCCCCTACCCTCGTCAACCTAGTTTCCGCTAAAACTTGTCAGATCTTACACTCTGGCCCAATTGCGAACAGGGCCGAAAGGTTGGTCAGATTTTCCGCTCCTGCGTTAGAGGTTTGTGGTGCATTTGCGCATTGTCGGAGAGAACGAAGATGTCGAAGGGAGAGCAGGTAAGCAGGCCGTAGGCGTGACGCAAAATCCTAGCCACGGACTCCTGCCATGCCAATTTTGGCCTGGTTGGGATTGGGGCAGACTGTACAGTAATAGGCATCACACTTTATCATTTAAAGTGTACCCAAATGCTGTTCGAAGAATAATAAATTAAGGAGGTCTCTTATCATGGTGAGCCTCCTGCTATGTAGAATCTCTGGATTCATGAGAAGTCAATAATGAATAAGTAGGCAAAGAAAAGGTCTTATATGATGCACTGTACGAGGTCGCCAATGTCTAGCTGAAAGACTTTTCGAATAGCAAAGGTTGCCGTAAATTCAATTTCGCAGGTTATTCTTACTTTATAGCCTACTGCCGGACGGAGGCGCACCTGGGGAGGGGGGGGGGGGAACGCGTTTTGTTTGCCGCAGAGCGCATGAGGGCAGCTGGGGTAGAGGACTATATGTCGCCGAAAGGCGGTCCCCGCGGTCATTTGCGACAAATACGCATCCTTGTACATGCGCGGACATGCGTTCCTGTAGGGAATCCGCGCGACTCTTCCAAATTCGGCGACACATAGTCCTCCACCCGGGCAGCTGCTCCTGAAACCCTGCCTGCACTGAGTGGCCCACTTTCCGCACTTTTAATATCAGTTAGTGCCTTACTTCGAGGCAGATAAGTGTGAGGGTCACGCAGCGTCTTCCTGAAAAACAACATGTGGGCCTGAAAAAACTAACGGAGGAAGGACGAAAAAGTGCAGGAAGGCACATCTTCCGGTGATACATAGAGCAGGATCGAGCTCGATTTTTCTCGTCCGGAGAAGAGCTGGGTAGTATACTTTGGACCGAGTCGAATGATTATTCGATTATTCGAATAAATCATTCGAATGCGAATGATTCGAAAATTTGAATATTCGAAAATCTGAGATTTCGAAAAATATTCGACAGTCGAATATTCGAAAATTTTCATTTTCGAATATTATTCGAAAGTCGAATATTCAAAATTCTCAACTTTCGAATATTATTCGATAGTCGAATATTCGATGGTCATTAATTTGATCATTCGATGTCCATGGAATATTCGAATATTCGATGAGCACCGAATATTCGAAAATTCGATAAGAATTGACTACTCGAAAATTCGAAGCATCGAATATTCGGAAATTCGATATCCACAACATATAAAATTCGAAGCATCGAATATTCGGAAATTCGATATCCACAACATATACGGGGTGTCCCAAGGGTATGTACAAACTGGTTAATCGCTAATACCTCTCACGAAGTCTTCTGCCAACCTTTGAGTAACATCCTGTAGGGATGGCTTCAGCTTACAAATAAAGCAGAAAGCAAATCACCTATGTTTTTCTTGTTGTGTTATCACGGTATGAACTTAGCATATAGAGCAACTGCGAAATGAGACATCCAAAAGAGTTTTCCCAACAAAATAGAGATTTCAAATCTATGTAGCAGGATTTTACGTATGTTTAACTACGCACGGGCTTTTAAGCCTTTTAAATGTGCATTCTCTTTTTTGAAAAGCGTTGGAAAACATCTGTTATGGTGTACCTGGCATAAATTGCAAAAGGCGTTACGGTTGAGTGCAAATTCTTTATATAGTGAGTGTCTTTAGAAGCCTAGTATAAGATCGGCCTTTTTGTTTCTCATTCTTGGGCAAACGGCTCTTGATATCTCAAAACCCTCCTCAGTTTTCTTCCGGTAATTTGCAACAGTGAAAAGCGATCGATACATCGCTTCATACTGTAAGTCTAGGTTGATGTCAGCCCACAGATTCACATACTGTTGGGACCCCTGTATGTCAGTCACAACTCTCAATGAGGATAAATAATCTTCTTTGATTTTTGAAATTCCTTTACAACCGTCACCTACGCTTTTAGGTTCTTACAGGCAGCGTCGCAAAAGATGGGTCCGGGAATTTGTGGCGATGTTAAATTGGGTCCCCTACATAAGCGGTGACGAAGTTCGGAGCGAAAAAGAGGGTCTGGTAAGCTTGAAAATTGCTCCCAAAGTGGCCCATCTTACGGCAGACCCGAATTCTAACTGCAAGGCCAGAGAATGCATAGCGCACACAGTCATGAGTGCAGGGTCCTGCAACGACTCTGCGTCTCTACCCTGCATGCATCTCGTACTCACGACCCTACCGTAAGATCCGGGCCTCTTACGGGGCAAATTTTAGGCCTGGTAGTCCCCTTTTTCGCTCCGAACATCAGTCATCGCTTGGGTGGGGGGACTACTTTAACATCGCCACAATCCGGCACCCATTTTCTTGCCGGGGCTGCAACTGAACCGTTTTTTCGTTGTAAAAACATAAAAAAATGTCTATACCTGGAAAAATTCATTCTGAGATGTTTTGGTCTCTCACAGTTAGTCTCACTGACATAATTTATTCGCATAGTATTCGAAAATCGAATGATACGAAAATCGAATATTATTCGAGAACCGAATAATATTCGAAATTCGAATATCGAATGATATTCGATATTCGAATATCATTCGATTCGAAAACTTCCATTTTCGAATAATATTCGATAGCCGAATATTCGAAAATTTCGATTTTCGAATAAAATTCGATAGTCGAATATTCGAAGTTTTAAATTTTCGAATAATATTCGATAGCCGAATATTCGAGAATTTTGATTTTCGAATATTATTCGATATTCGAATATTCGAAAAAAATTTCGAGTTTTTCAATGTATACTGGGTAGTATAGTTGAGACCGAATATTCGAGTTCGAATAATTTATTCGAAAAATTCGACTATTCGAATATTCGAATAGTCGAATGTTTGAAAAAAAACGCAATTATTCGACTGTTCGAATAGTCGAATATACAAAAGAGACAATTATTCGAATATTCGTTCATTCGCCCATTTGGAAAAACGGCGTATTCGAATATTCGAATATTCGATACGTTGGAAAAAACCAATATTCGAATATTCGAATATTCGACGCAACAAAAAAAGGACTTATTCGAATGTTCGATTATTTGCAACCGACTTATTCGAATGTTCGAATATTCGAACCGACAGAACTTAACTTTCTACCGGTCGCCTCCTCTTGTCGGCTTCTGAACGACCCCTTCACTATTCGGAGTCTCTAATATGGGGGGAGTTGTAACAACGCGTAACAGCTCCCAAAGAACGCGGTTCGTTGCGGGACCTCGCCCAAACATTGATTGATTTACGTTTCCTTCGTATCAGTGCGTTTCCCCTGAGTTCCATTGAGCTATTTTTCTTCGTAGCAGAGCTTTATCATACTTCGTGACGCTAAAGTGCTTTCATTTCATTTTTGATACTTTTTGCCTGTTGCTCAAGTTGTCGACTATCTTCCTTTGTATGAACGCAGCTACCCACGTCATTGATGGTTTCTGTCGAGTTTTTGAAGTTTCTCATTTTCTTTTCAGAGGAATATTATGCAATCGCAGTGCGATGCGTTGGTGAGTTTGATTTTACTGAATGATCCAGCACTGAAGCCTTGAAAAGATTTTGCTAACATTAGTCCTTTTTGTCATTTCTACTTTTGGAGTTCAAGCACGTTACTTCTGACAGTGAATGATGTTGTTTACATCAAGTCATCAAGCTAATTCAGCAAGAAGGCTAATTTTGGAACGCCGAATTGTCCTTTTTTCATTTTTTTGATGCTTTTTTGCGCAAATGAATGAAATTGTCGTCTATCATTCATTGTATTGACAGCTAACAGTGTCATCAATGCCGATTTTGTTGAGTATGGGAGTTTTCAAACCTTTTTCCAGCGGAGGAGTCCAATACGATCTCTACGAAGAGTATCAATTTCTGCATTCTGCTGAATGTTAACATGTTTGGATGAACTAACGATCAGTTCACGATACTTACAAGGTGATGTAAGCTTTAAGGAGTGCCTGAAGCGATAAATGTGGATCGAAAACTCCAGATAATCGAATCATTATATGAATGGTGCACTAGTCCCGTTATGCTTCCTTGCCCGAAGGGTGATCTTGTTCAGTGAATTGGTGCACCATGTAAGCGCAGGCATCCTGTATTACTCAAATCAGTAGTCCTCTATCATTCATTCTGTGATTTAGAGACCCCGCTTTGCACACATTGCCTAAACGGTTTGAACGTGATTTTTCCTCTCCAAGTAGCAAATAATCCAAATCGGTCAGACTGGAGGTATAAACCTGTAAACGTCACGATCATGGTTGTTTGACAATGTGAGCAAAGCAGTTTCGAGTCTCCTGCAGTCACACACAGAATGATACTTTGCATTAGGGTGTTGCTTGTCCCATCAGACGAGACTCGCTTTTTTAGGAGATTGATTTACTTACAGCTTCTCTTTATTTGCATTCTTCTTCAGTAAAGTTTTACCCGCAGTGTATTTCTAAAGGCAACATTTTGATGACTTGATAGTAATAAACAACATCTATCTGAAGTAATGTGCTTGAACTCCAAAGGTTGGAATGACAAAAAGCACTGTTGTTCGCAAGGTTTTTTCAAGGCTTCAGAGCTGGATCATTCAGTAAATTCAAACTCACCAACTGCACCGCACTGCGATCGCATAATGTTCCTCTGAGAAGAAAATGAGAAATTTCAAAAGCAAACTCCAAACACTTTAGCGTCGCGAAATTAGCCGTCTGGCTCCTTTGTGTGCAAGCACGGACTGGCGCGAACAACCTGCCTCATCCGGAGATTCAAAATGTTGTGCATTTGCACGCAGGGCAGTGACTAGGCAGATGACGGCTACTATACATGTTTTGACTTCCCCGCATGCCTTTATCCGAAAGCTGCATAACGAAGCTACCCATTCAAATCAGCATTGCTGTTGTGCTAAATCTTGGATACTACTAGCACCCGTTATGTTTCTGCGGCTCAAGCTAGGGGTTGATCGTGCTCCAGTTTCTTGGCGTGAACTCGTGTAATACTTACACCACCGAAGAACTTCATCGGGCAAGGGACTTTATAGGACCTTTACGGTCCACAGTCATGGTGGGAATTGAAAGAAGAATTACATAAAAATTAGAGTCACTTGTTGCCAGCCCCAAAAAAACCTATGCGTCACTTATTGCCAACCCCCACCCAACCTAAGCGTCACTTGTTGACTTGTTCACTTGACACACCTGTTGCAAAATGCTGCCACAGAAGGACATTCGGACTGAGTTTATCCAAGACTAGATTCATTCGAATTATTCGAATAGTCGAATATTCGGTCATGTCTGATTATTCGATTATTCGAATAGTCGAATATTCGGTCAAATGTGATTATTCGATTATTCGAATAGTCGAATATTGGGTCACGTCCAAATATTCGATTATTCGAATAGTCGAATTCTTGAAAAGTATCAATATTCGAATATTCGAGTTCGAATAATTCAAAAATCACAATTCGAATAATATTCGTTCGTTCGAATAATTTTTGAAATTGGATTATTCGAAATTCGTTCATTCGAAAAAAAATTTCGTTCGTCTCAACTATACTGGGTAGGGCAACGAAGTAGAAATGAGTGAATTCTGCAAGAAAATTGGCTAAAATTGCAATCAACAGGAAAAAAGGCTAAAAAGGCTAAGTTGTGCCGCAACTGTGCCGAAGCATCGGGCTTAGTATAAACGCAGCCTATCTATGCACGAAACCATATGGGAAAGGAGGATGAAGGATTACAAGCTTATCTATGTGGGTAAACCGTGGCAAAGTTTTTTAAAGATTAGAATGGCGTATGCACACCTAATCCCTTTTGGAATGGACATAGAAATCGTATATTTCTGATCGTGACTCGGCCGTAGTTTTCGCGCGAACTACATTTTATAAGAGTAAAATGCTTTAACAAAGGGCATTACTTTAGTGCCCAGCTCAGTGAACCCCAGTATTTAGAAGCTATCATATGCATGTAAGAAATATTCGAGTAAAAATCGAAGCAGAATATGCGGGTGCCAACCCTGCGTACGAAGCGCGCGGCCGCCACCATTGTCACGGTTTTATGAATACCCTATATATCCCCTGATCTAAAGAAATGCCTTTTTTGTGTTCATATATTTTGTCAAAATCCTCAATTAACACATTGACGACCGCTTGACACATATGGTGTGTCAAGGCTTGACACACCATGTGTATCGTTGAAATGGCTACTATCTTGTGTTAAATCCACTCCGGGAGTTTTCTTTTGTGCTGGATCTAGACACAAACTTCACTGTTTTTATCAGCATTCCAGAGTTACTTAGGTGTGTAGATGAAATTGCGCGTGATTTTATCTGAAAATGTTGGCCGGTCCGTGAAGCGCCGTAGTCGTCAATGTGTTAAATTTTATCTACTAACTAATACAATGCGGCAATCTATCCACAAAACCTGTTAGCACCGGCATCAATGCATTTTTTTCCCTCACCCATTTAAAGGCAGCGTCCAGGCAGATCCGAGCTCGACGACCACGCCCACATCCCTCGGACGGCCAACCCCTTATGAACGAAATCTCCTCAGCCTTGACGTGTTTTCACATGACCAACACAGTCGAACTTACAGCGTTTACCTTTTAACCCATTGACGACGACGCCTAATTTTGCGCGGCGGCCCTGTGGGACGACGCGATTTTGCACAACAATTTGAGTGTGGAAGGGTTTCGTGCTTATTTACGAAATGCAACATTGTTTTGTAAACAACTATTAACATTTTCTTGAACGACAGAGCCTATAGGTCCTAAGAATACAAAAAATTGGAAAAAATATTCATACGGGGAAAAAATACTAGACCTGCAAATGATACGACTTTGCGAGAGGTGTGGGCCACCGGGGGTCCACATCGTCCCTGGCAGCAAAAAGTGCGTAGGCCACCGGTGGTCCACATCGTCGTCAGTGGGTTAATACTTGCTTTCGACAAGGATAGCATCAGAAGCACTCGTCCGGGTTTTCCCAAAATAGCCCCAAAAGGTGGTCTTCTGAGAAATTAACGCTTTTTGAATTCCATATTCGGAATCGCCATGGAAAGGCCTGGATAACATGAGAATATAGAAGTCGAGAATCTGCCTGGACGCTGCCTTCAATCTAAGAATCTACTGAAAATCAAAATAATTTTTTTCTCAAAAAGTTCGAACATTCGAGAATAAAATTAAGGCATTCAAAACATCCAAAACAATTGGAAACAAGGTTTCGCTCATTTTCCACCCCTCAGTTGCCTTCATATCCTTCTCCTTCCAAGGTTTCACGAGGAGTGACTGAAAGAGGAAGTCAATAAAAAGGGGATTGTTAGAAAATGTTCATAGTTTGTAAAATCTAAAGACAAAAAATGCGTGTGCGGAAATAGTATTTCATCTCATCAAAGGTTGATCTCATGATTCGGACGCGCAGATCTTTTATTTTCGAATAACAGTAAGCTTTGTGCAAATCCCAGTTTCAGGTGTTTGATTTTTTCGCCATTCTCATAACACTCATTGCTTATGCGGTCGTAAATTACATTGTAAGTGAATGAGCTAGGCTGTCATGCGAAGAGTAATATTTAAGACAAAAATTTTCAGTCGGGATCGTCCTTATTTACCGTTCTACCGCTGATCCCTCTTCTGTCTTCAGCTGCTGTCCTGCCTTTAGGTGTAATTGGCCTCCTTTATGTATGTACTATGTCGCAAGTAGTCTTCCATAACCTTTGCCAAAAATATTATTTCAGCAGCATGCCAATCTTCTCGTCATATACAACACAAGGCTTTCTTTATTTGTGATTTGGTGTATTGTTTGGATGGGGTATGTTTTTGCACAAAGAAGTCTTCCTGTGAAAATGATTTTTGAAAATTTCTCGTGGAAAATCTCAGAAACAAAGATGGGGCAAAAACAGAGCCGCCTTTGCAGACTGCTGTTCCTTTCGCACACTCTGTGGCACTTTCTGAGGAACAATAGCCGCACAGGCGGTGCCTAGTAAAGCTTCGTCCATGCTTATATAGATACATTTCAGTATATGATAATGTATTTTATTCCAGTGTCTCACTTATATATCAAGGTGAAATTGTGGGGTTGATCGCTTCCATTATTTGGTTCATAGCTGCACTTCTGTATTTTTGGGGACTTTATGTTACAAGCAAAGCGTTGACTTATATTACGACACACTACAGGTAATACCCTTCGTTTGATCATTCATATTACACTCACATCCTAATGAACTATGATTGTGAAGCGTTGTCCCTTCAATCACGGAGGATATTTATAAGTGATCGCAATTTATTGTAGTTGCAGGAACCTTGTGATAGTTGTCGTACCTACACCCATTAATAGCCTCGCTTCAGAGGGTACGACGATGTCGATCCCGAACGTGTGCAATTCATAGAACAAATGCTACGTGATATGATCGACGAAATCAAGCAAAAGGAGATTGATATTGCAGCGGGTGCAATCCCCACAACAGAAGATACTGCAAAAAAGGATCGTCTCTCAAAGAAAGCTGTAAAGTGAGTGTTTCTCGACTTTATCATGCCTAGCACATTTGAACACCTACCTGCAAAGACCTTTTTGTTTTGTAGAAATTTAGCGCCAGGAGAGGGAATTTTTAGAAGTTTGCGTGCTAATAACTATATGAAATGTATTTTGGGCTTTTCGAGCGCAAACGCGCATTTGTCTTGACTATACAAATGACGAAAATCTCTGTTTTTTCTTATATTAAATCCCGAATATTGAAAAACGACGCGTATAGTCTTGTAGAATTATACTCATGGTAAAATTCTTGTTTCGCCGACAATAGGCGTAAAAAACTGATAGGGTGCAGATCAAGGAAATTTGCAATCGTGGCCTTCGGCGCAGTTGTTACCGGTCTTAAAAGTGAGTTTTCCCGTGCTTGTATTTTCACCTCCGCATGGGTACCATAATTCTATGTACTCGCTTGGCTTCTTGTAGAGCTAACTTCCCATCGAACTTTGCTCGCAACCCGAGATAATTCATACCGTCGCAGAAATGTCGTCGAAATGCCTTGAGTTTTCATTTCAGTCTTTGAAGGCTGTTGCAGGAAAGGACAACGCACACCCCGGAATAAAGCTGGATATGACAAGTCTAAGACCGAGTAAACTGGCGCCGATGTTTTGAAAGAAGAAGAAAGACGTTACTCAGTAGAATTTTGACTGTCGTATATTATTCTATGTTCCCTTATTCATTACCATTGTTAAATGAAAGACAACTACATTAAATATGGTTATATTTTGCCTTTGCATATAATTATTGGAACTTCTAAGATTTGTCATACTGAGAAAACCTATCACATGAAATATTTTGGATGATCGACAGTAACTGAAATATATATGAGACATTGATGGTTTATGCTCCTAAACACATTACGGAGCCTGCTCAACAGCTCGTATTTTATCACTTCCTAGAATAAAACAGCCAAAACGGGTAGAACACTACTTTGAGTAACGTTTGCACGCAAGGAGACCATGAATGCCTCATATTAGAATGCAAATATTGATATGGTAATACAGCTATAATTTGTCTAAAAATTTGCTCCTCAGAGATAAACACTTTAACATCGCTTGAGCAACTACCTACTTATTGCTACAAATTGCCCTTTTTGATTGCAGAGTTTGAACTGCGTATATAAAAGCCATAGGCGATTGATTGGACGCAGAGAAGGACGCCATTGCGGACACCGTCGGCGTTTCTTGAACCAAACGCACCTTCATTTCCCTTATCCGTCAGCTATCTTTCTCAGACATGAACTACGTTGATTAGACGCAACTGTTGCATATACATCTACTCGCGTCTCATAGCCAAATGTAGCCTAATAAGGGAAAAATCCCAAATCGCAGCGGCGAACTGGAATGAGAAGCATAAGATGCGTCTGAGCTGATTGCAAGTCTACCTTCTTTATCTGCTGCATCTTCCTGCAAGAGAAGTATGAGCGGTCAAAAGACTGAAGTCATTGAGTATTCTATGCATGTGCATTTGAATCAAGCTTGGGAGTGCACAATTGGCAACGAGTTGAGTCTGACAACAAGGAATGCACACATTAAGCAGAACCATGGATATGCTTTGAACAACTAAATCTCGAAGGAAAGCCACTGAAAGCTTGCCATATTCGAATTTTGAAACACTAAGTTGATCCAGAGAATCCGCAGCAGGTATGGAAAGTAGATCTGCTCAGCGAGGCGCATCTAATGTTATGCACTTCGCAGAACGCCATTGCGATCTGGTATCTTTCCCTATTAAGCTTGCAGACGATTCTGCTTCATGCAGATACAACAAAAATCATAAACAAAGCAGCAACAACTATTGTCAGTTCAACTATTGGTCGAAGAAGTTCATATAGTGTCTCTCCAGTCAAAGTTATCAAAAGAAGATCAGTGACCGGTTAACTTTTGTAACAATGAGGCCGCTTTGACATCGGGTAACGCATGTATTGTGCAATGCTGAAAAGCATCAATATATCACCGTGAATGTTGAGGCTTTTTTTTCGATTCAGTTTAGAGCAGCCTTTGCTAGTTTTCTTGGAACATATCACAACTCATTCCATTGTCGATTTTTGCAGTATTTACCATCAACATCCATCACGACAGCAATCACCAAGCAAGCAAAATAGCTACTTATAGCAGAATAATTATTCATTTTTTATTCCGAGCTGCTTACCTACATGCTTGCCTACCTACCTGCTTACCTGGTACGTATTTGGAACAAGCAGCATTTTTTTCATACTGGCTAATTTGGCTATTGTAAGTCTCCTATCAATAGGAAACACTTGAACTTGACGGGGAATTTCTTTTGCATTTTGCAGCTTTTTGAATATACTTTTTATAAAATACAGATATCGATTATAATTGACAGATTCCCAGCAACAAATCCTCCAGAAAAGTTTTTCAATCTCTGCGTTTCCTGTTTACCTTATGATATATATATGTCGCCGAATATCGGTCAATTTCTGCTATTCGTGCTTTCACACCTTCGAGCGAGTTGAATAAAACGTAATCGACAAATTTTTGAGTATTCTTTGTAACGAGTGAATTGAATTGCCTTATGATATGATAGGTTTTTTAGCGCCGATATTTATCAAAACTGAAAAAAGAAGAGAATAGCTGAAGAGCTACAGAAAGCAAAGTAAACACTGAGATGCGGTGAGACTACAATACATATGATGGCATGTGTCATTAGAGCTGGAGGTTTTTTCGTTTACCGTTCTCATACCGCATACATTTCATCGAAGCTTCTCTTTGTGTTCCATAAGCATAGCATTCTATTTTTTTAGGAATTTACAAGAAAAGAAAGGTTAATTGCAAATTACAATCTAATATGCTTATCAAAACCTTACAAACTACCTCTCCTCTGACGCTATTTGAAGCCTTGGGAGTATCAAAATCACATTTTCGACAATTAGCCATAACCACTTTACCCTTATCAGAAGTTTATCGTGAAAGAAATTTTCAAAGACAATGTCATGGTAGCCCCGCAACAGATCACAGGAATTGCTTTGAAGTGCCACAAACTTCATAGAACTTGACAAAAGCTACGGAGAAATTCAATGTGCAAAAATAATCTGCGAATCAGCGACTGACAATCGTTCGCTTACTGTTAGTGTCTCATAAGTCTCTTCATATTGGCGAAGATTGGCTTACCTCAGTTTTTTAGATTAGAGCTCAAGCTAGTATTTGATAGAGTAACGCAAGCTCTACAAAATGGTTTCCGAAAGACCGCAAAAGCTTTGATACACGTGAAGTTTGCAGTTGAAATACAAAAATTCTCAAATGCCCAAAAAATCGGGTCTCAGCCAGGGCCCGGCAGATCGTCTGGAAGCAGGCTGGACTTCGTTTTTGGAGCAAAAAGCAAAGGAGATATCGTTTTTGACGAGTGGGGGCCAAGCACCAAGAATAAGCGCCATTTAGTCCAACACAAGCTTTTTGGACAGGTTATCACACGATTGACATGCTCTATCGTGTATGGCGAAAAGTGCGCGCGATTTGAAAGAAAGACTAAAGTAAACAATTTGCTTGTTTAGAGCGTGAACATAAGCTTTTGACACCAAAATTTAAGGAAGACCTATGTAAAAAGTTTTGAAAACTTATGTGAAGTAATACCTTTTCCAAAATTAGATCGTCTCCAGACGGCCACCAGACGATCTGAGATCGTCTGGAGCATCTATTTTCGTCACTTCACATAAGTTTCGGATATTTTTAGCATGGACGGATTCCCCGATCAAAAATCTATCCCTGAGCATAAAGACATTTTCATATCATTGCCTCTTCTTCGTTTTTTGCCTTGATTTCTTCATGAATCGCTTTGTTAGATATCGCGCTCCAATAGCAAACTCTTGTGCATGCATAGTAATCAGCTCCAACTTGGATTTTCTTTCTTATCTCACGTTGTTTCCTTCATACTAGTAAATCTTTCTCGTTTCCATCTTCTTCTAAGCAGGTAGGTTAAAGGGGACTTCGTAAAACTACCGAAAGTCAGGGGAGACTTCGTTTTTTAAAAACCCTAGAAACCGACTCGTGCCGGGCCCTGGTCTCAGCCCAGAAAAATTCTACGGACCTCTAACTTGCTCAGGTATATAATATCTACATCACATGGGTAGGCTTACATCTGCTGAGTTTTTCATGGCTAGAAATCGAAGAGCAGAAATAGGCCAAAATCACGAAAAACCCAAATAATGTTTTTTTTGGTTTTTTATCCAAATTTGTTATTTTCCGAGAAGTGAAGCACACAGAAAGCTCAAAATTTCTAGTAGGGGGGGGGGGAGGGAGGAGTGGGGTCTCCCCCCCCCCCGAGAACTGGGTCGCGAAATTTTTGAAAGTTATTTCTATGAGTTACAAAAATGTCGACTTAAATTTTGGCGTTATGAGCCTGCAAAAATTTTTTATCTCCTCGCAAACGGAAATCTTGGGTACGCCACTGTACTCACAAAGATTTATACTAAGGTTTGTCCTTATAGTAACAGCCCAGCATAGCTTTCACGAAAACATGTATTTTTATTTTCATAATTTCTAGCAATGGAAAGAACACAGCAATTGTATAGATGAATGGAAAGTGTATAGCAGAACAAGCTAAAATTTTGCAGGATTCTTTTGGGCAAAGATTTGATTTTTTTTCAATTTACATTTCGGTATTAAACTTTGTGTGGGTCACAGTTGGTGTGATTTAGAGATTGCTTTACTCTATCGAAAGGCAACCCAGTCACCATGATAAATCTACAAAGGAATGGCTTATTGCAGTGAAGAATCTAATATGAAAAGTTATGGGACAACCTAATACAAAGAAAAATTATCAAATGTCTTTCAACCTCCTCTCATATTGACTCATCCATTGAATACCTTGAATGCCGCTAAATTCACAGATAGGGACTGAAATTGAAAACTTCGGTCTGCAACCATTTTTGGAAACGGCAACGGTGTATAGCTTTTTGCTATGGTCGTAAACATTTGCTCAGCCGCTCCATCATTGTCCCAACATTTCGAAAAAACTAATGAGCTAAACATACGCTATGCTAAACCAATATAGATCAAAGACAATTGATAGACGTCATTTCAACGCACGTTAGAGAGTTGCTTTCAGATACAAGATAATTGCTTACAGATACACATCCCCCATCAGCTCCTTCGTACTTGCGAAACTCCATGCTGTCTCAGTCTATTCTGATTCCTCTTTTCGCCTACATTCCTCTCGTTTCTGCAAGGCCACTACCGAACATTGGTTAGTTTTTATTTACACTAATCATCATGTATACGAGCGTAGAAGAGATATCAAAGTGTTCTCTAGACCATGGCACAGCTGAAGGTTTAACCATCACCAAAAATACCAATTTGCTATCTATTTCCACCATGGACTCCTTTTCGATAGTTATGAAACCTCGAAACTAACTAGCTTCCATCAATAAATACAAAATGTCACCTTTGAAGCCAACAACGATTATTTGAAAATTTTTGTCTGCAGATAGACCAAAGTCGTTCCAAAGTTAGCAGGGTTGATAGGTGGGTTCAGCTATAGTCGCTTCGCCGTTAGAGCATATCAATTTGCTAAAAAGTCAAATAGAGTCCTATTTTCAACATGTTGTTCCAAAAGTCTTCAAGCCTGCATTTTCTCACTTAATGAAGCGCGCGAAGTAGACTGGCGATATTTAGCATACAGCTTATTTATGCAACCGAAACAAGAATGCGAATTAAAATTCCGATTTGTCCTCCACGAGCCTCCAAAACCCGAAGAATCTTGGGAAACGTACTCACCAAGGCAGGCGAGTAGTTGACGTCCATGTCTCACGCCTTCCGAAGCGCGACTTTAGACCGACAAAATTCCGGTCGAGGACAGCGCAGTGCTTTACAGGACTGAAAAGACCAAGAGATCCGAACCTTTAAAAACACGCCAATCTGGAAATTAGTTCTAGGATTTTGAAAAGGTCAAAACGTTGCAATCAACTTTTTGGGGAAATCTTGGGTTTTATGTGGTGAGCGACATGATTTCCGAACGCAATTTGGTTAGGCTTTAGCTAGAGTCAGTGAGTCAAACTGATTTCAGGACAGAGTTTTCCGATTTTCCGGGTCTTGCTCCAGAAACCCATTTGCAAAACACCATTTTTTGAGAATTTGTTCCCATTTTTACAGTAATAAACGAAGATCGCTGTTTTACACTGAAATTATAAATTGAAGCTAGCAATACAACATAAAACTTGAAGGTCGGCGAAAGCTATTAAGATGAAAGAGTTATTTATGTCTAGACAATGAATGCACTTCAGTTGGCATCATCTCAATATAGTAGTACTATTCGCATTGGGAAACATTACATAAGAATGCACGTAGCCAGCGCAGTTCTTGGCGGCGGTGGGGGAAAGGGGTCAGGAAATTATGGCGTGCACAATCGCAAAATTTGATTTAACGAAAGATATTAACAAAGTCACTGCATTGCAAAGTTAGGCAAGGCAGCGTACACCCAGAATCTATGCTATCCAGTTCTCTATACGTTGTTTATGTAGGGCTCAGTAGAAGACCAGCAGCGTTGGTCCAGTCTCTTAATGTTGCTTCTAAGGGGAGAAAACGCGCCTGATTTTTCTTGCGCTCTGCCCCCTTTTTTGCCGTCCGCCTCCTTCGGACGAATCCACGACAGCGTAAGCCGGAAGCTTACGTCTGGGTTTTTGGGGACTTTGGAGAATTTGATTTTCATAATTGTGATCAGGGTCACAAAAAAGCCCCAGGATGACAAAAATAGAGCAGGCGAAATTTTGGCCATACGCTGCCTTCAAACACTTTTGAGACACCCTGTGGTTCATTGATATCAAGCAGTTGCGATGTGAACTGCTTCTATTTTTTAAAACGTAATTTAAGGACTCGAACAGCTGAGGCAGTGTGTTCAAATTTGCCAAAGTACCAAGTAAAATCTCTCAAAACTTGTGCAAAAATGTGTTTCGCAAGAAGAAATTGGTGAAAAACGATATAAACCACACCTTGTCAGTCCACCTTATTTCCTCAAAATGGATAGAAATTATTATCGGTCTATATGCCTGTAGAGTATGCGAACAACGTGTTTCCATTTGTAAATATTTGCGGTGTTAATTTTTTTGAGTAAATTGCAACCCATTCTTTAAAATCCTGCAATCAACTTATTCGATACACTATCATGTGTATTACATAAATATAAAAAAAAGAACTTGAAGTTTTCCCGGGTATGAGTCTCATTTCTACACAGTGAAGAATGTTACACTCGTTTGCTTACAGTATACGTTATGTGTCACTTACGTACTCGTTCTCGCGTAGGAAGTACGCATGCGCAACGCGAGGTCCTTGTATGCGGACCTGCGATCGATAAGGCCAATTTTTAAGCCAAAGCCGTACGCGCGCGAAGGCCTGGCGTGGCGATTGCGCTCAATGAAAGGGAGCAGGTAATTGACACCGACTGTACGTAAGTCCATACAAAACGCAAACTATAAAATTCCCTAGTTATCTAATCTATCTAATATATAAAGAATCGTAAGCGCGATTCAAAAGTGTGCAAATAGCGGGAAACCGCGCGGCAGTCCCGAAGCGAACGCTCTTGCAAATAGCACCTTTAGATTACTGGTTCACTAGTTGAACCATCTACCTGCTCTATTGTAAGATCGACTCTAACAAGGAAAGGAAGGTTGGTTGAAGTGGCCTTTTGAAAAGATATGCATATTATCTTGTAGAGCTTGGAGCGCTGATTCCAAATCTGCCTTCGCCATTTGCTGCGGGCTTCTGGGCGAGGAGTTATGAAGGTTTTTCTGAGTAAAAAGTTGATTGCAAGACTAGTGTAAAATCAGTCGTGATGTTTTTTTTCTAGGGCTTAACTGGTGATCGGGTCACTCAATGCAACAAATATTGTTTAAAATATACCGACTCGCTGCTGCCTCGTTTGAACAAAAAAGGTTACGACTGATTTTATATAATTTTGCACTAAAATTTTTTAATCACAAAAACCTTCATAACTCCTCGCCCAGAAGCCCGCAGCAGATAACAAAGGTGGATTTGGAGTCAGCGTTCCAAGCTCTACAAGCAAGTGTACATCACATCTCAAAAGGCCACTTCGACCAACCTTCCTCCCCCTGTAAGATCTCAGTTCCGAATCTGTTATCAGTTTTTAAGGGTTTTGTCCAATATGTGTATAGTAGCTTTCCTACTGAGTGCCTAGTAAAAGCCGTGAATTCCCTGAAATACTAAGAAAATTGGCATAGTCATGAATAGAGCTCAAGGAAAACAACCTGCCGGTTCTGTGCCAAAATAGACTAGAACCTTGGAAGGAGATATGGTTTCTCAGAGCCGGTTCGCTAATTGCAGTCAAGATGGTGCAGCTTCCCGCCGGAGCAAAGGAGCAGGACTTGAAAAGCGAGCAACCTGAGGCTGGGACTCAGCCAAAAAATCCCCAAGGTATTCGAGATTGCAAAGAAGGTGATCCAATAGGTGGTACAAGTTCAGAAAGCAGGACGACGTGGCCTGAGGGAGCGTACTGCATAATGCCTGGAAGAGGCACTGATTGCCCGTATGGCTTTCGCATGGATTCTGTATCTCTTGCTGTCCCCATCGACTTTGGGCCAAACGAGGTAAGCGACTTCATTCCAGTGACTCTTTCCTTTTATTACCAAGCATTGGATTAGTGCAAAAGTTATATTAGCAGCTTATGCTATAAGCCCTGGAATGTAGAAAAATGCGTGTGGCGCACCATTTAGAGCGAAACAAACTTTACAAAAACTAGAATAATCTACCTAGGTCCTGCACGGAAAAGGAAAATTGGATTTTGCCTCTAGCATTGCTACTTCTTTCGAACTCAGGCACTTTACAGTAAATACTTCGAAAGTATGATTATAAAGCCATAGTCTTGTGTGACCTTTCGTTCAGAGGAAAAATTGATATTCAAGAACAAAAAAGACGCCATTTTACGTTTTTTGACTATTTTTGTTTCATTTGACATAGGTCGCAGTTAAGATCAGGTTAGGATCTTTCACGTCTTGTAAAGCTTGCGTTGCTTTATCAAATGGCGTCTCATATGCACATTCATGAATTTACGTGTCTTTAGCAGTCCATGTTTTTGCTTTTCGAAGTGAATCCAAATTTTTGCAAAATGCAAACAATTTCATCACTGTAACATTGTTTCAATAATGTGTATAGGAAGTTTTTTGCCATAAAGTATTTTCAGGAGTATAGTGAAGGTGGTCGCAGGGTGCCGTACATTCGTCTCGGAGACACCGGAGGGTTCAAGCTAGCTCGACAGAGTTTCGATCAAGCCTATACCTTACAACTGATTGCATGTTGTAAAGCTTCTTGATATGTATATATTCATTATGAACTGCAATATTAGCTCATCAGACCTCAAATTTGATACGCTCTGCACAGTGTAATTTTTAGAACTTGCATAATAAAATTTTTTTGTCGGTGTCTACAATTTGATTAAGTGGAGTTGGTCAACCAAAACAATGGCTCTGGAAAGGCAGATCAGCTTACCTCGTGAGGAACAGTAATGGTGTTTAGGACAAAGAAGTGAACGAAACGGAGTCCGCTTGAGTTCCCATTCAACAACCCACTCCACGTTATTTGTTGAGACGACACGTATATTGAGCGCTGATTGACCTTCGCTTTAGGTTTCTAAATGTTCAGTTATTGCTATTCACTTACGCTTGAACCTTCTTCATTTTGATGCATCAGCTGGTAGATAAAGCAGATAGAATGACTAGAACTCAACAAGTTTACAACTGTTCTGATTTACGGCTTCCAAATAGTATCAATCTGAAATCCACTCAAAGAGGCTTTCTTTCGAGCCAAAATTCGAATTTTCAGTGTTTCTGGAGCATTTATATGACCGGTCCTCTCCGCGCCTTCTTCTTCGACATGGATCTGTTTACCGACTCCTGTAATCTGCAAAGTCTACACTGAGCGAGGGCTAGATTATGAGTCCATTTCGTTTGAGAATTCAGCATTTGCTTCGTAATTCTAATGAGCCTTTCGCAGATGTATAGCTCAGTTTATTTCGTTTTTGAGACTGCTAAAAAACTTGACCCGAGGCCAACGGTCACAGTAGTCGAACACGCCCTTCTCACAAATCAGCGTATCACCTTGAATTTCTATTAGAACTGGCATGAGACAATATGTAACATGACATCCGATCTATTTGCCAGCACTAACTGATACCGTGGTTTCGCGCTTTTGTACACAACTGGTAGGGTGAGATCTTCCAAAGAACATCCTCTCAACAGCAAACACGCAGCTCTTTCGTTGCCTTTGAGTAGTGGATAATCTCTGCTATGTTTTTTTGAATCACCATTAGATATTGGGCTGTTTCTTGCATGTTGATGGACGATAATTCTGATCATCCTCATCTGCCCATTCTATAAGCAGCATTCAAAAACAATCGCATTGACAGTTTGGAACATCTCTACAACACAATCTGGTGTTCTCTCTTTGCGAGCATTCGAAATACTTTGAAAGGCGGGGTGTTCAAAGCTCGACATCCTATAAGAAACGCGACCCATTGTGCTTCACATACTAAATTAAATCATGAAACAATCATCAAACATTTAAAATCTCACTGCTTCTGCATTGCTCTACAGATGACCTTTTTTAACATTTTTGACTGTTCCTAACATATACAAACATCGAATGCAAAAAGGGTATTACTCATAATTAACGAAATTACTCATAATTAACGGCTGAGCGGTAAAAAATGGAAGAGCTTGATTTTCAGCATATTGAGATTTTTGTTCCGACCAACAACGAACATGCTGCAACTTGATCTTCGCTTAAATTACCGTCCTTCGCCTATCATTCTGGCAACGCGTTACCGCTCCTCTCTCACAATGCTTGGCGCGGCGCCGCGAAGAACTCGAAGTGGGTTTTTTGAACAGTTCTCAATCTTACGCAGCTATACCGTAAAATCAGATAGCAAGTGACATACCATTCGAAAGGGGTCTTCGGCTTTCAAATCATATATTGAATATGTGGGACTTCTTTTTATTTTCAGGAAAAAAGCAAATAAACTTGAAAAATAACGATTCTTTGGCGCAATAAAAAACCAAAAAATCATATTTTAGCCCATACTTTCCGAAGATAAATGAAATTTGAGGTAAGCTGCATGTGGATGGATAGGGCGTAAAAAGCTCTATAAAATGGTGTTTAGGAAACGTGCGTTCACTTGCAAAGAATCAAATGACATGTCACTTCGTTTTCGAAGCTGCTAATGACCATATCTCCTGACTATAAGCACTGAGGCCATCAAGTCATCGTGGGTTTAGTGACTGTCCCACCAACCACTCCAACAATGTTACTTAGGATGATCTCACATGTTTCACTGCGCAGATACTGCTTGAAGTTTGTAATTTGTCGAAGTTTAACTTTGCGTTTCAGCAAGTATAAAACTTATTAGGTATGTAAATGATTTTATATAGGTACCTGAAAGAGAATAACGTGTTTAAATTCTATAGAAATTGGAAAGTTCAGTCACTTCCCTTTTTCAAGAAACCTACAGTTATTTTCTAAGCGTCCCATTTTTTGCCGTTTACCCTAATAATACATCCCTTCGAAGTTCTTTCTTGCAATATAAATCAGAATAATTCTGTCATTGTCTGGCATAGGCAATCAGGTGAATTAGTGAAAGCTATGGTAATCACTGAACTATCTATCCACATTTATCACATTTGTTCTGAACGTGCATCCCTTCAGAGCTTGCTATGTTAGATTGTTAAGGAGTCTCACCTGCACTTCGTGAAACTCAGACCTCTTTCCTTCGTACCAATTTTGAGTAAATCAAGAAAAGGAAAGGAAACATCATGCTTTAAATAACTAACAGTCACTAAATGGCTGAGATATGAGATTGGTGCTGCTTACCTCACACTTTTTTCAAGTCCTTTCTACATGGTGAAATGAAGCTAGGGCCAATAAATGCAAGTAGATCTTGCATGATAGTGCCTTGATGTTGGTTACATTACAAAACTGTTGAGATAAAACTGAAATTTTACTTATTTTCGACGTATAGTAGTCTATTAGTCTATTGGGTCATATATCCAGGAAAAGACGAATTTTCTTACGGGACAGATTTTCAGTCAAACTAAATTATTAGAGTTTTAAGCCAATCAATTGCTTTCATCTGGCGATCTGTGACAGATTTTCTCAAGAAAGTTCTAGGAATCATCTCCCAAAAAGCGCATAATAATTTTCGATTGAAAATGCAAATCAAGCGAATGCGTTAATTCACGAAGCTTATTAAATTACCCTAATTTCCCAAGTATAAGGCTCAGCCATGTATAAGGCGCACCTGCCGTGCGAACGTTAACGCGAAAGGTGCGCCTTAGAATAGCGCTAAATGTGGACCATCTTTAAAGTTCTACTTATCATCATGTCGGTGTTGATTAATTCTGCATTTCAAGACTTGATAAGGACGTAGACGTAAATCATCTCACAGCTCAAATGCAGGGCTCGGCACGAGGTGGCTTACAAGCAAGCTGGGTATCGTTTTTGGGATGAAAAGCAAAGGGGGTTTCGTTTTTGTGACCGAAGACACACGCAAAATTGGCTATTTGGCGACGTTTTTTTTTAGTCGACGTTTCGTTTTTTGGAGGATTTTTAGGGAAAATGGTGGGGGGTCAAAGGGGACTTCGTAAAAATACCCAAAAGTCAAGGGGGACTTCGTTTTTCGCATTTTCATCTAGCCACCTCGTGCCGAGCCCTGCTCAAATGTTCGACGGTGATCGCAGTTCAAGTGTTCAGCGTTAATTTTTTGAAGAATATGATAATTAAAGAGCAAACTAATTTTTCTAAGCAGTTTGACCGCAGAAGATTCAACAAAGGACGAGGGCACACTAAGCGTAGCGAAAAGTTCGCTGCTTTTGCGACGTCGCGCATAGCCCGGCGTCGTCGCGAATCTGCTCGCGCGCGGTGAACAAAAATGCGCCTTATACTCCGGAAAATAGGGCATTTTCCTTTACAGGATCTTCTTATTATTCTTCTCCTTTGGCAGAAAAAAGATACCTGCAAAACGGTGGGATAAAATTGTTATAAAATACTGAAATCTTTCTTCGAAGTGAGTAAGGCCCCGGACAGACTTCACGCGACTTAACCGTCGCGATCTAATCGCCAAGATTTCCATTCATTTTCATTTCACATTCAAAAATTTCGGGCTGGAAAAGTATCACAACCGGCAAGTTGATCGGCATGGAATGATGTTGTAACAGTTGTCTCGTCGCAATTCAGTTGCGACGATCAAATCGTGGAGTCTGCCCAGGGCCTAATAGTGAAGAATGGTTTTTTCGAGTTCGTCTCTTGAAGCGATTTCAAATGATTGAATGGGCGAAAACTTTGATCTTATTAGATTTTGAAAATGTGAATATAAAAATGAGGGATCCCATCGCAGAACGAGGATACACATTACTCATTTATACATTCCATATTAGGCTGCTGCATAAGTTCTGTCCAATTTTGATTCTCGAATTCATAATATCAACTTTTTTCAAAATCGTTATTTTTCTATAATCTTAGATAATCAATATTTTCCATAATCTGAGGATTATAAGGCTGCAACCTCGTCAGACCGGAGTTTATTCAAATATGATATGCGTTAGAAATAGCAAGAAAAGCACCTTCTAATGATACGAATATTATCGCATTATATGTAAAAGTCTCCTAGATCGGCTGCTTCATACATAAGCCAAAAAAAATCGGACAGAACTTATGCAGCAGCCTAATGTAGTAGGCGAAATTATCCAAAAGCCTTCTATATAAAGCTGAATGTGGGTTTGTCTGTATGTCTGTACGTATGTCTGTACGTATGTGCGGAATAGAAATTTTTATTTCTAAACCGATTTGGACCAAACTTGGTACACATATACTTCGGGGCAGGGAGCGTGTCATAGGCTACTTTTCGTTATCGATCGATATCGATTTTATCGATTTTTTTTTGCAAAGTTTGGACTACAGGGCTGGGAGTTGTCACAGGGGGGTAAGTGAGCATGGCGATTCCGAATAGAGTATTAGTTTTCAGAACTATCGATTACTTTTATCGATTTTATCGCTTCCTTGCAAAGTTTGAGCTACAGGGCCGGGAGTTGGCACAGGGGTTAAGTGGACATGCTGATTTCGAAAACACACAGGGAACGGGAAATGAAGTGTAGAAGTGGGCACAGGGAAAGGCCATACAGGGATAGGGATGGGACCTTTACCACAGTGTTTTGACAGGGCCGAGCGGAGCCGGGTAAGCAAGCTAGTGGTAAATATAGCAGTACCCGGAGAGAGAGAAAGAAAGAGAGAGAGAGAGAGAGAGAGCCTATGAGGACTGGCGCGATGCATTCGTGAACTTTCATTTACAGCGGAGGTCAACTAGTGAATCTTCGGCTAATACGATGGTTTTGCATTAATGCTAACGATTCGTACAGAGTGTTTGATGAGCTGCGTTTGCTTTGGCGGTGTTTTTGCCTCATTACAGCCATCAAGCGCTTGTTTGTGTTTGTTTGAAAACCAGTGCAAACCGCAGCACTGTTCGGCTTCCGATCGTCCTTCGATACATCCAGCTGAGATATGTACATAGCGAGCCGAGGCGCATGTCGATTCCAGGCACGAATTTCCAGCCTATGCATTCGATCGATTCGCTATTTATTTGTATTTGTGTCTATGTGTGCATAATGGAAGCTGTGATGGGCAGCGAAGACGAATATCGGCTGATACAAGATCTAAGGAACAACTATGACCCTATCGAAAGGCCGGTGCAAAACCACTCGGAACCCATCCGCGTCAACCTCCGAATTATTCTGCAGCAGCTTGTCGATGTGGTGAGCTAAGAAAAAATTACATTTTATCTCTTATGCAAATGTATTAGGGTATCCCATAATTTTTCGTTTTTACCTACAAACGTCGTTTCTTTTTTTATTTCTCCTTCAATTGATGTGGCTTGAGTAATCATTCGACCGGGCAAAGCAAGCCCTTCAAAATGGCTATGAAGAATCTGCCCAAACCGTATTTCACCGGAAGTTTTGAACTGAAATCTGATAACAGTCGAAAACGAGATTTTATCTAAAAAATCGTATCTCCGCTCCAAAATGTCTTAAAAATTTTCCATTTGTCCTAGCGTATGCTTGATACATGCACATTCAATTGTACTATTCTCGTATTTTTTCCATGGCTAGAAATAAATTAAAAAATGAATGAGATAAAATGGAAAACCTCCGTCCCTAGACATCCTGAGCTCCTCCCACGCACAAAATCATATAGCTCATACATGCAGAAGTACGACCATGTATTTGTAAACTTTGAAGGTGTCTCGGTTCTTGAGAAATGCTGATGTTTAGGGTAAAAGCGGCAAAATTATGAGACACCCTAATATTAGCTATTCTACACAAATTTTACGTATCATCGCCGCCTGACCGTCCACCCTTTATGAAGCCCGGGCTGTTTGCAAATCATTTCTGCAAGCGGCTCCTATAAATCTTGGTGGGCAGCAATCTAGAAAAAAATCACTTCAACCCGTTCAAATATCGTTTATTATTCCATTTTTTGCGCAAGTCTAGCACCAATTCGAGAAATGGGCTCATGTCAGGATTGGTTACATCATACACTCTGTGTCATATTTTCATTCTGAGTTGCATTTCATCATATAAATTTCAGGACGGATCTAACTAAACGAAAAGACAAAAATTTACAATGATAATTTATAGAAACATCTGTGATTAAAACTTGAAGTCAAGTTTATCGCGCTTTTGGTTTGAGCAGTAGTGAAGGATTCTTTACCAGCGTAAGTCCGGAATATGCCAATAAAAATTTTTGCTTGAAGCATCTGGAAAAGCAGGCGTTCTTCAAATTGTATAGCATTACACGAGTTTGACGAACCAAAGAAAACTTTCCAGATTTTCGAAAGCCCACGTAGACGTCTTATAAACTACCTAAAGCAGCACACATGATCTTTGAAAATTAGCTAGATTCTAACAAAGCTTGACTGCATCTTCACGAGCATTCATCTAACAGTGATTACTGTCTAAACCGACGTTTTTTTAATTATCGCGTATTGTACCTAGTCAGGTATGTAACCAGCCTTCGTACAAATGCTCGATGTAGATAGATTTGCTAATCGCAAATCTTTAGCATTTCAGCATCTAACAACACTGAAATCATGTACTACATCCTCAACAGTACAAGTCTGAACTAATACTCAATATAAATAATTTTTTCTTTTTCGGACGAGAAAAACCAAGTAATAACGCTGGTAGTCTGGACTCAATTCACTTGGCATGATTACAAAATGAGATGGGATCCCAAGGAATACGGCAACATAACGAATATACAGTTGCCGAACGATTTTCTGTGGAAGCCTGACATATTGCTCTTCAACAGGTTCGTTTTTATTTTGTGCTACTCGCGTGAAATGGACACAAATAGTAAATAAATCTTTTTTTGTATTAGATAAAGATTCCCTTGTCTTGGAAAATTTTTCGAAAAAGTGAAGTTGCTCTTCCAGCGCAGACGAGCACTTTGATGCCTCGTTTCCAGTAAACTTTGTCGTTTCTTCTAATGGAAATGTTCTTCTTGCACCTCCCGGCATTGTGAAGATTTCGTGCGATCTGTCAATGACGTGGTTTCCATTCGACGAACAGATGTGCTTCATTAAGGTAGGAAACAAAAAATTCTTTTGAATCTCATCTATTAAGCTAATCAGAAGTTTGTTTGCACCTTTTCGAAAAAAAAATCATAGCTTCTTTGCATATTGAAAGATTTTCTTCAGAATATTTTGAAAGCGAAGTCTTGCGTCTACAGTGGCGTTCTTGTCGTTAACTAATAGAGAAAATGCAAGTATTTGAAGCAAATAAAGAGCTATTCAAAATTGGCATTTTGAAGTAAGGTAAAAAAATGCCAAAAGATCGCAGATTGAGAACAAGATAGGAATAACATTTTCACGAGGCTGTTTTTATTATGTCGTGCCATAGTCTCTACATTTATTTCTTTCCAAATGCCAATGAATAATTTTCCTCGTTTGCTCCTAACTCTCGCGTTCAAGTAATTCGATCAAAGTTAATGCTGTACAGCGATGATATCTCTTTTCAAACAAAGGATACTTTCAGAAAAATCCATTCTGATGCGGAAAAGTCATGCTGTTTTTTCAAAAGTTGCAAGTGCACTAACCAACCTAATACTTTGCTTATAAAAATAGGGTTGTATGAAACGTTCTGCTTCAATTGAAGAAGTTAGCTACTTCTTTTTTAAATAGATTTTTTTACACTAATAGAGAAATAAGAGAAGAATTGTTCTCAAATTTTCCATTTGGCATTGATCCCACCATTACACAACTTTCAATGGATCAATAGCGCCACTCTAATAGTACTTCCGTGAAGCGCATAGCTTGTTTTCACTCATTATCCTCTTTAGTATGGCTCATGGACCTACACCGGAAGAAAACTAGATCTTCGCATTGATGACACCGACCTCACAGAGAGGCATAAAATGGATCTGACATATTATGTGCCCAATGGAGAGTTTGATCTTCTTGGTTGGTTCTGCAAGTCAATTTTCCAATGCAGATCAAATCCACTGACATTACAGCAACACCAGCCGATCGAATCGAGTCGACCTTCAACGATGAGCCCTACATCGAAGTGTTCTTCAGGATGCATCTGAAGAGAAAGACGCTCTACTATGGTCTGAACTGGATTGTTCCCTCGATACTTATTTCTGTCACCAACATTCTCGGCTTTACCATGCCATCGGAATGCGGTGAAAAGATTACATTACGTAAGTTAAAGAAAGATGAAATCGTCGTCAATATTCATCTGATATAGAAGCCTTCGAATCCAGTTTAGAGAAAAACTGGAAAGCAAAAACTGAGTAAACTCTATGAGGACCTCAATGTTGGTTAGTCGGCACATAAAGTGAAGCGTCAAAAAATGCTGCAGTTTTTTGAACAGCTGCTGCTGCAATTTCACGCATTGAAATTAAGGCCTCCATATAAACACCAGAGTTTTTCATTTTTCACGACCTCTCAATAAAACCATTAGGGGGTCCCACAATTATTTGCCGTTTACCTCAAACACCAGCATTTCTCGAAAACTGGGGCATTTTCAAAATTTTCAAATACATGATCGCACTTCTGTATGTATGAGCTATACGATCACGTGTGGGAGGAGCTCAGAACTTCTAGAGCGGAGCTTGCCATTTTACTCCACTCAATTTTTTCTTTATTTCTAACCATGGAAAAAATACGAAAATTGTATAATTGTTCGATGTGTCAAGCACATGCTGGGCTAAATAAGGAATTTCTTAGGTTTTTTGGGGCGGAGATACGGTTTTTGACAGTAAAATCCGTTTTTGACTGCTATCATATTTCAGCTCAAAACTTAACGTAAATTACGATTTGTGCAGACTCTTGCTAGCTATCTTGTACAACTTGCTTTGCCTTATCGAATGGTTACTCAAGCCTCATCAATTAAAGCATAGGTACAAAAAGACGATCGTCGAAGTAAAAAAGGTAAATAATTATGGGACAACCTAATACAATACAGATTATCTAACAGCTTTTATAAAAATCGTGTCAAAATCAACAACCATTTTATCTTTTTTTCGATGATGGTTCTTGTATCCGCAGTATAATTTTACAAAACAAATGCAGAGATTTCCTACAAACATGCATTGTCAACCAACTAAGCTTCATGTAAAATACAGTTTCTGCAAGTTGACTAACTTGTTCTTTTTTCTTGCAGAAATCACCAATTTACTTTCTGTTACTGTGTTCCTTGGCATGGTTTCCGAAATAACACCACCTACATCGGAATCAATCCCAATCATTGGTAAGCGTTGTTATTTTTGTTTACCGTTATGAGAGAGAAATTTGTTTGCAGCTGTTTTCTTCTCACTTTCAATGATGATTCTGGGGTGTTCGATCATTGCTACTCTTGTCATTATAAATATACATTTTCGATCTCCGCAGACACATCAGATGGGAAAATGGGTACGATCCTTATCATGCAGTTTTGCCGCTTTGTAATAAGCCTCAATTTTGCTTAAGCCAAATTCTACCATGTTGAATTTTTATGCAGCCAGTGATGATAGTCATTACAGACACAACTCATCTTCCTTGAATGGTTACCCTGGGTTCTTTTGATGTCACGACCTGGTAAAACGTTCGTTCGACCTTCCAAAGTTGCCCAATCGCAACAGGGAAGCCGGAGTGCCAGTGCAAGCGAGGTAAGGCGGTTTTAAATCTACGATATTTGACATATCTGGTGTTACGGTATCTGCATACTATACGTCCATCAATTACGTTGAGAATGTTATAGAAACAAATAATAAAAAACACGTAGTTGAGTAGACGATTTTCGGGGGTTTGTAGGTTTCCAGGATAGAAAAACCCTGTAACCTTTGTAGATGAGCGGCTAGAATAACGTACATAAATAACGTGAAACCATTTTCTCCTTCGCTTCTAGAAAATGCTTTGGACATGAGTTGTTTTGCGACATATGGCCAAAACTTATGATAACCGTTTTGATCCAATAAGAAAATCTTTAATCTAACCATAAGTTACCGTACTTTATGGGTCATAATATTGTAAGAGGAGAGCTTGGCCAAAGATAAGACAGCTAAAGCCATAATAGTTCAGAATTCGAGTCCTCTAATGTTTACTAGCATTATCCTTTCTATGCTGTTATCGGGAAAATATCGTAGAGGTAATAGGTCGCTCTATGAGGTGATCAGTCTGTTCAATTCTAGGAAAGATTTCCTTCTTCGTGGGCGTAATTTGCTAATTGCAACGAGATGATAGCAAAATCACAAATATGTTGTTGTTCAGAATTGTGACTAACTAACACAGCATTTACAGACTCGAAGTTCACCTCACATCGCTTTCTTGCAGAAGACCAGTGGCAAACATGTGGTTCTCATAGATGACGAAGAAAGCGAATTACTTACAAATGGAGACATCCATCGACTGGAGAAAGTTCGAGGTTTCTGTCATTTTTCATTTGTCCATTAATAAAATGCAGCTACAGGCTGTCTCAATGTGAGTGTCAAAGCTGAAGCGCATCGGGTCGTGTGGCTGCCTTGCTTATTGTTAGGCTCTGGGCATATCTCGCGCGTTTGGCAACACTCCAATTGTTCCTACTCATCGTAAGGAGTTTCTGGATGTACGGAAAATAGGGCAATTTATCAACTACGAAAGTTATACATGGTGTGCATTTGGGGTCTGTCAGTAGTGAATTCATATCTGGCAAATTGCCAAATATCGTGGCGATTGAAATCGCGCAACGTATGGGCTTTAAGTCGGGCCGCGTCGCAACGTATCGCCAGAGGATTTACTCGCGCCTGAGGCAAAGACTGAATGCCGATGAGCGTAGAAAAAAAATTCAGTGATACCCTCTCCAACGCGGCGCATAGCCGAGCGAGACGACCCGTCAGCTGGAGGTGTGACATTCACAGTGAGACGGCATGTATAGAAAATTCACTTCGCAAAATAAAGCACATACACTCCTTGCTAGCTCTGCGGCCACATCTGTTGAGAAGTTCAGAGTGCATAGTCGAGCACAGCGCAATCGAAAATGGAATCAAGGAGATTATCCGATTGCTCAACAATTTTAAGGTTTGTTTTTGTTCCTTTATCTAGAAAAATGAATAAATCTGTCCAGGAGAAACTGGACGAGGAGGAACGCGAATCCGACATGCAAGCTGACTGGAAGTTCACCGCCATGGTCATCGACCGCCTCTCGCTCTACCTTTTCACGCTGCTAATCGCCGGCACCACAGCTCTCGTATTTTTGTCCACTCCCCGTCTATTCGTGCATTCACCTATTTACTAGGTCCAGCTTAGAAGATCGACAGGCTAGGTCTGGGAGGTTTATTGCTAACTACTGTGTTCTTGCGGTGCCGAAATTTTGCGGCCAAGTTTGCGCGTGAACTATTAGTATTAGCCAGTAATGCCGGCCTTTTGCGCGCACACAATGCCGGCATTATTGGCGTGACTACTTCACGCACAAATTTTGCACGCGAATTTGGCACCGCAAGCGCACTATATTGAGCAGAAAATTTGCTAGACTATAGAGTGATAGTGATAAGTGAGTCCGATGAAGTCAAATAGTTGCTCAAAAGATTCGGAATAGTATCGTTCCTCCTCGACGTACTGCTCTTATAGTTTTCTTCTCTGCAATCCAAAATGAACGGGTTTTTCATAGTAGAGATATTTGTGTCGTTGTCTGTTAGCTCTTAATGTTAAAATTCATTTATTTTTGTGTATAAAGCTTTTAACACTTGTTGAACGACAAAAGCAAGTACAACCCAAATACGGTTGAATAGAAATGTAGATTGAGCTTGAGCTGTAAATAAATGAATTGAAAAATAAGCTCTTATGTAAATTAGATTGCAAAAAGTTGCCTACGACTGTTGAATCTTATTTGTCCTTATAATAAGAGTTTTTAGAGAGTCAACGGTTTCAAAATACAACGCCAATCGTGGCTTTTTTCTACAGTGGCGGTCTTAGCTTTTTTAATATCTGCTGCTGCGACACCTCCTGCCAAAATTTACTTCACATCATCAAAATGAAGATTATGTAAGCCATCTCTCTACGTTATAAATCGTTTCTGTATGTAACGTTCGTAAAGAAAGTTTATTCAATTGCAAATATTCTTCTCAGGAAGTGCGCTAGCATCGTTGTAGCTGCAGTGACTGCTGCGAACACAGCTCTATCTACTAGACATGATCATTTTTTATAGGGTTCCCAGCACTCTTTTGGACCACGAGTGCGCAGAAGGGAGTCAAATACAATATTCAATCCAAATCTTCAAATTCCAACAAGGTTGTCAGGAGTCATCGCAACCAAAATGCCTCCGTGAAAGTGTAAGGTTTTGCACCCAGAGCTGGACGGTTGCCTCCCACTTCTTTCGTTATCAGTTCTTGCGCTTGGCAGTGTGTAGTGTGATCATCTGTAGTTTGATCACTCGTTTGTGTGCTGAAAGAAGAGGAATTCAGAAAACGGCTGATCATGTTATTCTACATAATGAGCTTAGACTCCGCGTTAGCGGAAGATTTCTTACTAAAGAAATAGTACTCCTGTAAGCTCATTGAATAAAAACAAATGATGCATTTCCAAATGAGCTCTAGAAACCGGGCAAAATATGGTAACAAAATTTCACAGCGCTGCAGTGGCAAGTCCCAATTAATCTATCAGTGAAGTCTAAAGCGAAAAGCGTTTCTGGAAAGCCTTAAATGATTCCGGAAGTCTTCCGGCTCGCCCCCACGTTCCGGATCCCGCCCACTTTCCTTGCTTTGAGCTAATGCGGACATGCAAAGCTTCGAAAAAAGCACATTCTCGCTTCTTCATGCGCTGCAAACACATATGGGTTCAACAAGGTGAAGGCTCCAAAAAGGCAAAAACTCGAATACAAATTTGCCGGCACACTGCCTCTAAGCACAGGATTGCTTGGAAGTTTGCCAGTTTCATATTGTCACCTCATCTGGATGGCAATCTTCAATCTTTACAAGAGCAATCCATAGTATGATTGGAGATACATGAAAATCTGAGAAAAGTTTTCATATTTTATGAATGAGCGTCAAAAAAAGCCCCCATATAACAATTTTGAGCATACGCCCGTATTCATGCGCGAGAACCGTTAGTGTTTCGCCTGAGATGACTCGGTTGTCAACCTGTTAAATCTACACAAGACATCAGTTGCGATCAGTGCGATAACAATAACAAGTTACATACTCATTTTGAAAGGAAATAGTGAACGGCTGAGTGACGGTGAGATCGTGGGGTGACATTAGAGGTGACCGCCGATTACGATAAGGGTGCACGTTATCGCTATTTCTGCTTTTGGAGCTCGCACTCCCAGACATTTTCAGGCGAACCTTTTGTCATACAAACTACACCTGTAGTCTCAAATAGCTTTGTACATTTGTGAATCGATTTTTTAGTGCAAATGTGTCGTTTTGGAAATTCTTTGTTTTCGTTTACCAAGATATCAATTGCACAGATATCGTTACAAAGGAACGTTTGAACCCCCACAATCAATGTTGTTGACGCCCAAATTGTAAAGTGAAGGGACCATATTTGTTGTGTGAAAAGTGTTTTCGCATGATTTTGTTGCAAAAACACTTTATTAGCTTGAAATTCTTCGGAGTCGCACACGGCTACACCCCAATAGATTATTTATAGCCTTCTACGAGGGGCTCGTTGATTTCGAAGCCTCTTTTTTTGTATTCATCTGTGTCGTGAAAAGGTCGTCGTCTATTTCCAGATGGTAGGACGCCGGGCTTGTTACCCGGACTATGTCGACTGGCTGGCGGAATTGCGCCATCAAGGCGGTTTTAAGTTCGTCACTCAGCCGAGAAATTTCCCTCTGAATACAGCGTTCACTAATCATCCCAAGGCTAGATCTTATGAAGAAATAGCAGCGAGTGTGCTGAAGTCGACTAGAGTCACTGTAAGTCTTTCGTTCATTGAGAAGCTTGAATGAATTCTGAACTGTGGCGTGAATCTCTTTTTCTTATACTGTCCTGTCTTCGAAGCCTTATCAGCAGACAGAGGTGTGAGCGGAGGGTAAAAAACATGCCATTACAGGTTTCGCGTATAGTGAAAAATTTTCCTATTCTTTCTTAAGCACGTGCTTATAATTTTTGCTAAATCAATTTTATTCTCATAGCAATTCTCACAACGAATCTTTCTCAAGTCTCTGAAAAATCCACTGGCTTGATTTTTAGTCAGTTTTTAGTTTTTAGTCAGATTTGATTTTGATAGGTCTTAACGTTTTTCACACATTCACAGAAAGTAGAAGTGGTGAGATGGCGTGAGATTAGGACAATTATCGTGACTCATGAGTTTCTATTTTTATCCTGTGCATCCGTCTAAAGTGTTTTGCGTCATTATAAGATTGAGGGGCAAACGATACTTTTCCTATAATTTAGTGCAAAAACCTGAACTTAGTCAAGAATGTGCAGTCAAAGGTATTGTAATGTCACTGGGGTAGCACCACTGGCATACTAATATGATCATCATGCACTATGCACCATCGCCACCCACCAGCGCCAGCACGCACCATCACGTAATCTTTGATTTAACAGATTGGCGGCTGGAAGGCGGGGACTCGCTTAAGGCAGCTCGCTCCCGCGACGCAGTCTGCATCTATCTCGCGCGCGTGCTCTCTGATCACTCTCTAGCCTTGACTAGGTCACGAAGCCCGTCTTTCAGTTACCAATCCAGTTGAATCAAAGTATACTAACACTACTGCACCCAACTGTCAAGCCCAACCACTACAGTTGTTTTCAACACGTATTGGTTTTTCCTACCGTATGCCTTCCAGCCTCAACATGACGTGGATTGGTGTGGACTGGTATGGATTAGTATGGATTGGTGAGGCGCCGCATCGCTTCGGGTTTGCGCCGCGTTGCTTTTCTCGGCGGCGCCGCACCTTCCAGCCTCAACATGACATGGATTGGTGTGGATTGGTATGGATTGGTATGGATTGGTATGGATTGATGAGGCGCCGCATCGCTTCGGGTTTGCGCCGCGTTGCCTTTCTCGGCGGCGCCGCACCTTCCAGCCTCAACATGACATGGATTGGTGTGGATTGGTATGGATTGGTATGGATTGGTATGGATTGATGAGGCGCCGCATCGCTTCGGGTTTGCGCCGCGTTGCTTTTCTCGGCGGCGCCGCACCTTCCAGCCTCAACATGACATGGATTGGTGTGGATTGGTATGGATTGGTATGGATTGGTATGGATTGATGAGGCGCCGCATCGCTTCGGGTTTGCGCCGCGTTGCTTTTCTCGGCGGCGCCGCACCTTCCAGCCTCAACATGACATGGATTGGTGTGGATTGGTATGGATTGGTATGGATTGGTATGGATTGATGAGGCGCCGCATCGCTTCGGGTTTGCGCCGCGTTGCTTTTCTCGGCGGCGCCGCACCTTCCAGCCTCAACATGACATGGATTGGTGTGGATTGGTATGGATTGGTATGGATTGGTATGGATTGATGAGGCGCCGCATCGCTTCGGGTTTGCGCCGCGTTGCTTTTCTCGGCGGCGCCGCACCAATCCACACCAATCCACGTCATGTTGAGGCTGGAAGGCATACGGTAGAACAAACCAATACGTATCGAAAACGACTGTGTGCCATACCCCCTAAACCGCACCGGGAGACGGTCAAGAGGCGCGATTTCTCTGGCTGTCACCAACTTATATATCCAGTTTAGTGCTGTGCAAGTCTTCAAAAATTACCAGATAAAGTACATTAGCTTACTATCTGTCTAAGGTCACCACTTGCTGAGTTTCATGGTTTTTGTTATGAATCGGACTGAAATATTTACGAATTTGTTCTGAAATGCGTTTTCATGAGTTTCTGACCTTCAAACTTGCTCTTTTGAATTTTTTCGAGAGTATCAAGATTGAACAACTCATGCAACTATTTAATATATCTTCTTCTAAAACTCATATACTCCCAGAAAGTTGCAGAACACTTATAATGTGCTATTTGGTGTCTAGCTGGCAATAGAAATCGCGCCTCTTGACATACACCCAACCGCACCACCTCCAATGACCACTACCAAGCACCACCACCAAACACTATTAGCATTACTCACCAGAGCTAAGCAGCAATAACACCACAGCAACATCAACACGCACCACGCATGCCACTGAAGCCAAAATCCAAATCCTGGTGAGGTGTCTTACCAGAATTTGGGTTTTAAGATTTTCGCAAATTTCAGTTTCGACCTTATATAACCTGCTCAAACCCGCTTAAAAATCTCGGTAACCGCGTTTTTCGAACCCTCCGTAGAAGTAACATGGACGAGCTGTCCCATACAAGCTTAGCATAGCCGCAAGGTAAACGTCAAGAAGGACGGCATCGACTGGAATAATGTGTAAGAACGCAATAGAACAAAAGTCGTCCAGCGCGAGCCGAAACGCCGTCCGCTCGCCACTTGCGCACAATTTGAACTACGTAGGAGGACTTTTTTGGACGAGATTGGGCATTGGCCTAGTAAGAGGATTCATCAGCACCGTTAGCTTCAACATACACCACTAGCTGACATACAGAGGACTATCAAGCACCACTACCGCCATCACCATGAGAGTGACTGTTTAGAGTTGTAATGATTAGCATTTTTTGTTTGAAATCGTTTAAAAATTCGGTACTTTTCCGTCTTCCGGACCCTTTTTTTCAAAAGCCTGTCATACAATACTTTCTCTAGTCCAAGGATAACTTTTTTTATAGATTCTATGAGGATTGCCTCCTCATCAGGTGTCACAAAAAATTGACAGGTTTGGTCTATTTTGACATGTATTTTTTCGAAATCACTTCCGGCGAGCTAAAAAAAATTGTGATCACCTTAGAGCTGTTCAATTGTTTTACATAAGAGCAAAACAATCATAAATTTATTTCAATGCATCTTGCGCGCTTTCAGCAACGATTCAAAAATGCCTTTCTCTTCAAACCCTTTTCGTTCTGCGATTTTAACCGGAAAAGACTATCATTGAAGCTTAAAGTATATCGCTGCTGCTCACTTCGCCTCTCAAATACGGAATCCTAACACACTTCTCTATCCTGAGCGAGTCTAGTCTGCTTATTGATAAGAATATGTGTTATTACTGTGATAATGTTTACCTCGAAACTGTTTGGTCAAAATAAGTCAAAATTGACTACAAAACAGATAAACAAACTCTTGGTGAAACCTGTTGAACATGTAAATGACATGTAAAATTTTCTTAACAAATGGCAGAAGTTTGACACTCCTTCCTACAAAGCTAAGACCAGAAATGGTAGAAGGATAGAAGCTATATACCTTTTTGAAAAAAAGGGACGCGTAGTTGCAAAGTACCACCACCATCATGTTCCCAGCAATAAAGCAGCGTTTTTCTGTGTCAGCAACCACTCCCCCTCCTCCCCCCCTCGCCCTAGCCAGCTGCACTAAATCTTAGGAATAGGACTGGCTTGAGGTAGGTACCATTCGGTGGAGTTTCATCTCAGTATGAATGGAAACTTGAGGGATTTGCAAATTTGAATATGGCAAATAGGATAGCCTTATGCACATATTTATGTAAACTATCGTTGTCAAGTTTTGTCCTTTCTAAATTTGCTTTCATTAAAACTTTTCAGTGAGGCATTAGTGGGTACCATAGGATAGCGCTCAATATTAGAGCGATTTTCAAGCAGACTTTAGAAATAGAGGGAGCAGAACGTTGATCAAAGTTTTTTCCTTTATAATATAATACTTACCCTACTTTCAGGGGTATAACCCTTTTCACTCTAAAGGCGCACACGTCAAAAAACTGCCTGTTACGATGGGGCGCGTTAAGTGAGAGCAATGTGCGAGGAAGACCGCTCCGCGAGACACATGCGCGGCGGCTCGCCTGGGTCTGCTCGCGTTTAGAGCAAAAAAGGGTGCGGCTTATACACCTGAAAATAAATATTTTGATGGCTTTCAAATATCAAAATTCTTCTATAACTTTTTAGATTATTTTGTTGCTTTCCAATACTATCAATAGATGAGACATTCTTATATCATACCAAGTGTACCGCAATCCACATTTTTTGTAGTCATTTGTCATTTGACAGAGAGAATACAGAAACGAGTAGCAAAGTTGGGTATCATCGTGCACGAACTTTTTAGGATGCTATACTGGAGCAGGCAAGAACAACCGGTGAGTCAGTCGCTACTCTCCAATCTGAAGCTGAGAAGACTCTGCGAACAATGGCACATAATTGGGGGCTTCAAAGCACCAGAATGTTTGGCTACAGTGTCGCAAAAGTGCTGGATGTAAGATTCTCAACATGTCGTATGATAATCAGAGAATTCTAATCTATAGCGCATATTTGATGCCATTTACGTGAACTCGAGTCAAGTGAAACGAATACGAGAGCTTTGCAAAAGTACTTCTGTAGTGTTTATGCCGTCACACAGGACCTACTTAGACTTTATACTCCTGTCGCTGTTTTGCTTCGAATACGTAAGTTGGCATCCTTGCATCAATGGTGTTGGTGTGACATCCATTTAGGAGGTCCCTTTACCCGCCATCGCTGCTGGCATGGACTTTATGAACTCTTGGTTTATGAGCGAAGTTTTACGAAGAAGCGGGGCATTCTACATTAGACGATCTATTGGGGAGGTAAATCCTTTTTTAAGCCTTCGATTTCAAATATTGAGCCCTCATAGATCAAGTGTTTATAGGATAGATTATACTGGGCAATACTATCGGAGTACGTGGAGACACACATCATCCACTCTGACAGACCAGTAGAATTCTTCGTTGAGGCTACAAGAAGCCGTGTGGGCAAGAGTCTTCATCCAAAATATGGACTTCTACAAATTGTTCTTGAACCATATCTACGCGGGAAAGTTTACGACATCGTATGTTTTTTCCAGTACTAACAAGTCTAAGGTTTACGTTTTCGTTGGAGTTTTAGGCCGTTGTCCCCGTCACGATGAATTACGACAAATTATTAGAGGAGATGTTGTACTCCTACGAGTTGCTTGGGTTCCCCAAGCCGAAAGAATCAACATCAGGTACGATCAGTTCCAGAAGCGTCTTGACCAAACTTTCTACAGAGCTTTATTTAAGGTTTATTCAAAGCCCGAGAATTTCTCAATAAACGGTTTGGTAGATGCTTTGTTACATTTGGTGAGCCAATTTCGGTTCGTGACTACTTTGGAATGTCACTCCATCGATCTCAATTTGTATGTCAGGTTGGTTTGGTCTTGGGATACTCTGATAGAGATGCTGAAATACATATTGTCCAATAATGAGTTTCGTCACCTTTCGCGCAGATCCGTTTGCGCAAAATACTAAGTAATTGTGACTGCTCCCAAAAAAAAAATAGTCTCATATACCTTCACTCAGTCTTGCATGAATTAAGAATAGAGTTCTTCCACAGTATTCGTGCGATATAGTTGGCTTGCTCATCCTTGCCGCTGTGGCGGTCGAATTTTTTCGAGAGGGCCCGACGAAAATTTCTTTCGACTCAAAAGTCAGGGCGTTGGGCATGTCCTCCGAAGAATCTTCTAGGACAATTCTAAAATTTTGGGTCTATACCACAGATTTCAAGAAAAGGGCGTAGTAGCAGCCACATTTCTGACAATCAGGCTTCTTTGCGGAGCAAATTTGAATCCAATACTTTTCCCAAATAATTTCAATCATTCTATGTACAAGTGCTCACTAACACCTTTTTGAATTCAGTTGACGACATCGAAATTTTTCGTGACCCGCGCTCGGAAAGGGGAGTCCTTTCGTCTCGTTCCTTCGGTTGCTCATGGCCTTAGCAGGTCTCTCTCCGTTCATGTGCATAAATGTTGTTGGATGGTCCAGCTCCTGTCAAAAAATATTTTTGATGTTGCGCTATTTTACTAAAATATTTATAGCCAGACTCACAATTTGTATTAACGCGTGATCAGCGCGATCAAATCAAGAAGTTTGCTCATGTTGTAGTTGGCAAGTTGGATAGCAATGCCGTCATAACTCTCTGGGCCTTAGCATGTACAGCGATGACACAGGTAATTATTTAGTTACCTGAAAATTAAAGAGAACTCTCGCGGATTGACTTCATTCCGATTTCAGCTTCTTTCGATGAATGACGACGTTGTTTTCACATATAAGCAAATTCACTGCGAAGTGCTGAAACTGCTTCGGCTCCTGAATTCTCTTGACGTCACTATCAACATCGCAGTATCCGTGAACGAAGATCTTAGGTACAGCTTTGGAATTGCTCACAGCTTGGAAATTTGTTCTTCTTTCTAGGTACTACTTATCATTGCATTCGGACTTGTTTGAGACTGTAGATATGACCGATGAAGACTTCAAACTCAAGCTTCTTGACTTTCGAGTAGAGAAGAATGGGAATGTCTGCAGAGAAATCATGGAGAAGTCTATATCGCGATTACTGCTTGCCACATATTCTAACACGGTTAGTTACATATTCTGGAGCTTTTCTTCGACACGGTATCGTTCGTCTCGATCTTATGTGGCAGAGTGGTGGGGAGAGGAAGGAGGGGTTAGAAAGCGGTGGTGTTGCAGGGTCCAAAAGCGAGACCCATGAAGCCAAACACGAAACAACAGTTGCGAAACATAGCTTAAAGGCAGTGTTCGGGCAAAAAATCGATTTTGAGGTTTTACGCTCACCCGGGCCTATCAATGTGCAAGCGACTTATTTTTACTTGTAAATAATTAAAATAATTTTTAAAAATTTTTAAAAATACAAATTAGCCTTTTAAAAAAATTTTTTTGGGGGCGTGGCTGCTGCCACGCCCACTTTTCTGAAATTTCGAGGTCAGAGGCCCGAAAAAATTTTGGGAAGCATCCCAAAAAATTTTCGGAGTGCGTGGTTAACGCCACGCACCTTCATTAGAAAAATTTTTCCTGGGTACCCACTGGGTCTTCTCCATGGTGAATTCACGCTCTCAGCTTCCGGAGCGATTTTGTCGGTTCCGATTTCAAGACAAGCGTTCTTACTTGGCCGGTGGAGCTGTCAGGGCGGCTAGCGAAATCGAGAAAATCGCTCCGGATGCTTACAGGGGAAGGATACTTGGATGCCGTAGCCATTCATAATTGTATACTAAAAAATGCGCTTCTGAATGCTGGTTCGTAGACTGTCTTTCATATCTGCGAAACGATAATCTGAATGGAGTTATGATTTTTTTTTCATTAAAAAAATTGCGTTCCTGCGGAGGGTCAGAATCATCAATAAAAAAATTTTCTCTCCTTTCCAAATGCTGAGTATGATCCAGATAGTCTAAATAAATATTACTATGTCTAAAATTTTCTTCAGTAGCATCAAACGGTAGGCTAGATCAAATCTGGTGATTTTTACTATCCAAAAGTAGGCTAAATTTTCAAGGAAAAAAGTTCATAACTTTCTTCAAAAGATCGTTTCGCAGATTTCGAGCACAGATTCAGAATCTGCATTCGAAGGCGCATTTTTTGGTATACAAATCATTAGGAATGGCCGCGGCATCCAACTATCCTTCCTTTGTTAGAGCGTGAATTCACCATGGAGAAGACCCCGCCCACCACCTGATTCCTCTGCTGCGTTAGAGCTCCTTTTCGCCATTTTCGCGCTCAATGTGCGTTTTCGGATTCAGAGTAGCGAATAAGTCCGGGTAAGCAAAAAATCGCAAAATCGAGTTTTTGCCCGGACACTGCCTTTAAACATACGACGGTATAGAGCGAACCGCCAACCGCTTTTCACACCCATTTGCAGTGATCTTGGCTAAATTTGTCTTAAAACGCAAACCAGACAACCTAAAAAATTTTATACTGAGCCAATCAGCGCCACGGACGCTATAAAGGGTGTCCCAGAATAATGTATCAAACGTTTGATCTGCTATAACTTTTCTACATGAAAAGCTTTCGTTTCCCCTTAATCACCATATTGTAGAAATGGCTCTAGTTATAGATTTGTAGTATGTTGCTAACAATCGGCCTCTTCGGTTTATTTGGCATGACTTATGAACGAACCATTGCAGTAAATTACAAAGTTCTACTTAGTGTCATCGGCTTTGATCAGCATAGCGTAAGAGCATTTAGGTTGTTTACTTGCTTCTTAGCCAAAATATTGCTCTCAATGACCCAAAACCTTCTCTTAAGTTCCTACCGTAATCCTACTGCAATGAGGAGCGGTCGATGATACGCTCCATACTGCAAATCTAATTTGAAAGTAGCTCTAGGAGGATGTGTAAATGAAGGCGGAAACTTCCCTTACAAAAGAGTTATAACAGATCAAACGATCGACACATTATTCTAGAACACCTTATACAGGGTGTCCCAAAAAAATGTTTAGAATGTTTGATCGTTAATATCTCTCTTCCCAAGAAGTCTTTTGCCTTGCTTCAGGTACCGTTTTGTAGAGCTGGCTTCAACTTAGATTTCCATTATAGAACGAATCACCCATCTCTCTTCATTACTGTAGGGTTACGGTAGAAACTTCAAAGAGGGTTTTGAACCATGAAAGGCCATATTTTGCCTCAGAAAGGAAACAAAACAGCCTGAAAACTTTTACACCAGGCTAATTAGAATTGCTGATTATAACTGTAAAGTTCCCAACTTATTATGATGCTTCACTGAAGAGTTCTGCCAGGTGAGAGGTAGCGGCCTTTTTTTCAATGTTCCTAAAAAGTGCGATTACACCGTTTAGAAAGCTTCGTAATCTTGTGAATAGTTGAGTATTGAACTCAGCGTCTATAAAAACCCCATTACACAAGTTTTCACAATTTTTTGAAATTTTTGAAACGGCAGCTTTTTCCACATTGACACCATATGTTTCAAGTTTCTACCGTAATCCTACAGTAATGAAGAGAGATGGGTGATTCGTTCTATAATGCAAATCTAAGTTGAAGCCAGCTCTACAAAACGGTATCTGAAGCAAGGCAAAAGACTTCTTGGGAAGAGAGATACTAACGATCAAACGTTCTAAACATTTTTTTTGGGACACCTTGTGTATGAACTTTGTTTTACCACAATTTTCATTGGTGTTATGCCAAATATATCCTTGAAAACGCGATTAGTGTTAGAAACTCTCTGAAGATTCATAGAAACTAATTAATAAATCAGCTTGTGTGAGTGCCCTATACACAATATGTCAGCTTTTGTTAGAGAATCGTTTTCAAAACGGCGCTGATTCACAAAGGTGCTAATGCTAAGTATTGACTTCGTACCATTATTGCACAATAATGAAGGATCATTAGTTTTTGTCTATTCTAAATAAATGATGTGCCTTCGAAGCAAACTTCTCTGCTCTTTAGTTTGGTCGCTTTGTTTTGTTCAAAAAATACAACTGCGCAGCTTTTGTAGATGATGCACTCCGTATGCGATTTTGGTTGTGTCGCAGCATTACTACTGGGCAAAAAGATATCCACAATGAAGTTGATGGAGGAGCAGTACCGGTAAGGTTGATTGCCTACTTTATTGTCATTAGTTTATGGGTCAGTGCTATGCAAGGTATACATAAGGACTAAATCTTCTTTCTAAAGACGCCTAAAATCATATCCTTGCACTACTCTGAGAAGCGTTTATTGTACGCGAGGAGCGTTTCTCGTACACAGGAATCAGAATTTTCCAAAAAAAAAAGCAAAGTTGCCGAGTCATTCCGCAAACTTTTCTCATGTTTCTGAATATCACTATACGGTCAGAAATCTATAATAGAAGAATGGCAAAGGTCGCAACATTCTGCAAAAAAGTACTCCTTATCAGAAAGGTTTTAAAACATGAAAAAATTCCGAGCAAAGCCTTTTGTGCTATCCTTGTTCTGAACCTTTCGACATTTGTTGACTAAGCCGTTTTATCAATCATGCGTGCTAAGATACCTGTCATACTATTCCTGTGTCCTGCAAAACCTGCGATTCCTGTGGTTCCTGCGAGTCCCACAACAATGTATATTGCAAGAAAAGCAATGTGTAAATTCGCAAAGCGTTTCGTAGTCCGGCACAGCAGCAGAAGTGGAGGAATCACAGGAATTGCAGAAATTACGGGAATCGCAGGAATCACCTCCTGGAGTAGTATGGCCGTTCCCTAAATCGTCGAAGGACTTTTTGTTAATGTTATCTCTCCAAGCTCAAGAAACAACGATGTATGTACGAGGAATCTTGCGCGTGGGTAGATAAAAACGACATCACATTTTCCTAAAAAAATGCTAGTTATGATATGATATGTATGATACTTCTGGATTACAGTCACTTCGAGAAACTGAAATTCATTGAGAGCTGACACGAGCTTCACAGCGTACATATCTCTGTACTACTATAAAATAAACCCTTCGATATCCTTTTCTCAGACTGAGAAATCTGGGAATACGTTTAGACAAAGTTAGCTTGCAGTAACAATAATGAGACCCTCAAAAAAGGACTGCAATCATTCGCACCGTGAGAACTCAACGACAAATGTTTACGAAAAAGACATCTCAAAAGGTATGTTACAACTCTGTCATATTTTCAGTTTCCTGCGAAAGATATTGGAAAGAGAATTTGTTTACGTGCCGGGTAGTGAGTCCAGTCGTCTTCAAGAGACGTTGAAGCAGCTTCACCTGGCTAAGATCATAGCCATCAGTGCAGAAAACATCAAAATTACCAATCACGAACACTTATCAGAACTATGGAAAATGATCTCGGTATCTGAACCCCGTACTTACTTATAATCATTGTAATAAATCAATGTTCTTTCAGCCTTACATACAACATTTTGCACTGGTGCTTGAAGCTTTAATAGAAGCTGGATTGCCGTCTTACACCATCAAGGATGTTCTATTGCTGTCGCAAAAAGTAGGAATACTGCAGTCTTCGATCATTCTAGTCATTATTGCTTGTGCATTCACAGTACATAGCTGAGCTATACAACTGCAAAACACGTCCACACATTCTCCTTTCCTTCTTGTCAACAGAACCCATCAAAAACGCTGGCCTCATGCTGATGTCCCAAAATGTGCTTTTGCTCAAGGTACGGCTCAATGCTTCTCAGTATTTTCCTCATTGATATGATTTTTTTCAGGGAGCTCGATATACACTTGATGAATCTGCGGCTGTCAAGCTTCTGAACGATCTCTCTGCGCTGACAACTTACGGGTCCACATTGCGCAAATCACCGCAGCAGGCAAAACTCTAGCCAATAACTCAAATCATAAAGGCTTAGTAATATTGTGAATATGTTTTTTCTAGTCCATCACATGACTGAATCTTTGTCTACCTCTTTTATAGTGGTTGATCTTCGCATAAACTATTATATCCTACGTTCCAAACAAATAAGATTATTGAAAAACATTCAAAAGTTTCTTTCTTCAGAATTTATCAGAAGTTCGCACCAAGATTGATCCGCATTATTCAAAGTCTAAATGAGGAAATCCGCCTCGAAAAACACGAAAATAATCGCATCTCACAAGTTGTCAGTTCAAAAAAAAAAATTCTGCGAACTTTCCACTTGCTCATGCATTAATCGCCCCTTAAAGGCAGTGTCCCGGCAGATTCGCGCCCTGGGGGATATTGCTGTGGCAGAATTCTTGGTCATCCCACTGACCTCCAGGGCGCAGTCCGGCTGGTTGATGTTCCTCGTGGGCCGAGAAAATAGCCCTTGAACTGGTGCACGCAAACCCAATCGGCACGCGCTGGACGACTTTGCTTACCGTTCGGCGCGGGACCCCACGACCGGCCTCTCGCATTTTGCATGTTATCCAAAGCAAAGATTACAGGCAGCAGGGTCTTCGTGCCAGGGCCCAACTTTTCACTGAAATTCTCGTCCAAGCCGACTTTTGGAATAAACTCCCCGAAAAAGGTCTTTTAACCACTTTTAAAGCCCATATTCGGGATCTACGGGTCGAAAAGGCCCAAAACATGCAAAAAGATAGAAATGCAAAATCTGCCGGGACATTGCCTTTAAGATACTCGTATATTCACTTGCTGCTTTTTACTAATGACTAAAAATAAAGAAGAAGAATAATGCGCTGAATTTTCTGACTTTGCCATTCCTCGCAGAGATCTGATCATATATCAGGTTATCTCATACTTAATGCACGTTTTATGAATTTCAACTTCCAATCAAGATAACCCTTTCCCCAAACCATCTTTTTGGGCGCAGTAAAAAATACTGCAAACAACAAACCGTTGACTATAGAACGCACGTTTTTGTTGGATCACAGCCGCTTTAAGAAAGATTTTATAGACTGAGAAATTCCCGAACATTTTCTAGAAACCTATACTTTGAGAGAGCTTAACTTGAAATGTACTAGGATCGCGCGGACATTGCTCATTATATAGCCGATGGTCGGTTGTGGAATGGAGTTTGAATTTTATGGCATATTTCTGTGAGGAAATATAGCAAAAAAACTGAAAGATATCTCGGAATTTGTCCAATTTTTCTTTAGAAGATCCAAAAAACTGCCTTTTGAGATTTTTTGATTTTTTTCTTTTCGAACGACGATGAAATGCTGCGTTTTTTCTAGCATTAGTTGTACAGGGTCTACTCTACGTACATAACGAATTTTATACAGTCGCTTTTTGCTCAAGATTTTTATGCAGCTTAGATGGGCCTCAGCGACCAGCCAAGTTTAAGACAAGATTTCTCAGCTCGGAATCTTGGAAAGTCTCATACTGACAAGCGTGTTGTAGCACAAAGCTTCGCGATCGCTACGTATATTTTTCAAAGAAAATCCGTCTACTTTTCATGGATTTAGAGCAAGGAGAGTAAAGGGCAAGAATTTCAGATTTTGATCACCTGTCTTTGAGGGCATGGAACTTCGGCTTCAACAGAGATTTGCGAAAACGAAAGCATATGTTAGAAACTAGAGGAATCGGGCCTTCCGAAAGCATAAAGGGTTTTGAAGAAAAATGTTTTTTCTCTGAAAATCAGCTCTCTCAAAAAAAGGTTGGAAAAACGTGCATTAATTATGAGACAACCTGATAGCATTCGCTCAGAAACACTCCATCCATTTGCACTCTAGCTGCCCTAGTGTTACAATATGAAAGATTTACGGGACAACCTAGAACTTATGTCCAACTTATGTCCGCCTATCACGAACTACTAATAATGCAGCAGTTCCTATGTAACGGATGTGAATTCACGAACAGCTTTAAGTGTCGGGTTGGAAACAGTCATTTGAGAGCATTCTACATATAGCAAAGTGTAGTCCCTGTTCTCAAGAAATTGCTTTTAATATCCACTTTTTCTACTGGAAAGATTCTTCTAATACTCGAGAACGGATGACTATATGTCTTCGGCAGCCTCCACCTCGCGCGGACAGCTGGTACAAATTCGTATTGTCTATAGTACTGGTCTGTCGTAGATGTCTATGTGGAACCACCTCTTTCTCTATTTCTCAAAATGAGCAAAACAGGATATTTGAACTGAACCATTCAAAACCGGCAGTATGTATCTGGAAACTGTTTCATTTTATGTGTTTTGATAAAGCGCAGAGTTTTTGTAAAAAGCTATTTTTTATTCGGAACTCTGTTGTTGCTACGCTTGAGACGCTAAAGTGCCGTGCTTCTGAAACCTATCAGAACTAGAGCTTATGATGTCGCATCACTTCTCACGATGAATGTCAGGCACATAGTTGGGATCAGCCGCAGCAGTGAGTGCTTTTGCATAGTAATCCAAGCGTTGTGTCATCTGAATGATAATGGGACTTTTTTTGATAGTTTAAATTGGTGGATACCCTAAGACAAAGCGCATCTTTGGTTTGTCTGCATAGGTTCAGATCGATCTCAACAACAAGCACACCATCCTTTATACGCGAAAGTCCCTGAAGTGTCATAGCTTAAGAATAATGTCAGGGTTCAGAACCCGGAGAAACAAACCGGTGTGCGGCTACCGTCAGGTGCTGCAACATAGGCGCTCCCGTAGAACTGACCAATCTCCTTGTGTCCTAAACATGGACAGTGGAAAAATGACTAAAGTTTCTTTGCTAGTTAGTGTTTTGAGCTAAGATTTTTCTTCGGTGCGATAAAGTGTTTTGCTATACAAGCTGAAAAGAGGCACATTCAGAATACCACCCGTAACTCGTGAAGAAAAATTACCGCACTCCGCTCCATATCACCGAACATCGCGTCGCATCTCCTATCTTGCTTGGGAGTGGACAAAATTTAAATCCAAAAGCATACCAACTCAGCTCGATGGGATGAATCTTCTGATATATAGAAGTATGTTAAGCATGTAGTTGGTTAGATTTCACGGATTTTTCCAGATGTTTGCACATGATAGGTTACTCAGAGTGCTTATTCATTGCACAATGATTAATCAACCGCAAGCAAATATCTGGAGTGAAAATTGAACCGACTACCTTGCTCTCAAGCAGGCGCTCCTATATAAGAGCCGGTAAGTATGTGGTTACAACATGTATTACATCCTTTTTCTACAATATTCTATCATGACGGCTAATATGCCTGTAATTGATGGACAGCTTCTAATCTATTCGATTAAAGATCGGGTATTTATTATTTAGATAGGTAGATATTTCAACGAATTTGCAATGGGTAATTCATCAAGTGGCATTTGATGCATAAACTTCAAGGTAAGCTGATGAAGTCTGTTTGCTTGTGCACGAATCCAGTCTTGCAGGAATAACTAAGATGCCTGCTCAGACAGTCGACAGCATACCTCCGGAGCAGAGATGGCAGAGCCGCGGGGTTTCCCCAGCGGGGGTTTGCCACTCGTGCTCCGGAGACCTCCCATTTGTGCTCCGGAAACCTACCATTTTGTGCTCCGGAGACTTCCCATTTGTACTTCGGAGCCTTCCCATTTTGTGCTCCGGAGGTGTCCCAAATCTGGCGTACCTCCGGAGCGCAAATCTCTGCTCCGGGGCTCCTCCAAATCTGGCGCACCTCCGGAGCAGAGATTTGTGCGTCTCGGAGAGGGGTCCCATTCGCCTGCTTGTGACGTCACCGTGACCCCCGCCCTCAATGGTCAGTTGGGTCCGCAGCTCTGCCAGATTTCGACTGTCTTCCGGAGCTACGGCACCAATTGTCTGAGTGTGTCTCTTTGACATTCGGAAATATTCATGCAGAACTTCTGCTATGAAAATCTGGCAGAGCTGCGGACCCAACTGACATTCAGAAATATTCTTGCAGAACTTCTGCTATGAAAAATCATAAATGTGACGCTCACTTCTCGCCCACCCTGTATATCCGAAAAAGCATTTCGTAAAGCTGAGACGAGTGATGCTTCTAGCATCAGAAGTCGTCCACTCTGAAGCAAGATATGGCGATGCGACGCGAAGGTCGGCGAACTCGGGCGGAATGCTGTGATTTTTTTTCACAAATTAGAGCAGTATTGTCCACCGATAGGCCTAGCTACAGCAGTCAGTGATCGACGCGGATATTCTATAATGTAGATATATCATATTTGCAGTATTCGTTTATATACCCACAAGTCTTAATGTGAGTGACTCGGATCTTCATACACTCAACAAAAAACATTGCAAATAGAATTTTTGCCATCATTTTCACTAGGTTTTTGTACGATCTTAGAGTACTCCGCATCTTATATTAGGTTGAACCGAAAGTTCTGTCGCACCATTTTCAAAAAATCATAACTTCTTTCGGTCACAACGATTTTGCGCAACTCAAATTTTGTCTGAAAGCGTAAAGCATGTAGTTTCCAAAAGCTCCTTGGGGAGCTTTCGACATGCTCAGATGGCAGAGATAAAAATGAAAGAACGAGATCATCCGAAATTCGGAATTTTTAAGCAAGAATTCTAAAAATTCGGAAACTGTGCGATAAAATCCAGAAAAACCATTATCCTTATCTTTCTTACATTTGATTACTATCTGAGTCAAGTTTGCGCTGATCGAGGTCTTCTTTCAGAAGTTATGAATTTTTGGAAAAAAATGCCAAAAAATCCATTTCTTAAGAATTCTTAGGAAATTGATTTTTCGGCATTATTTTTTGAAAAATCATAACTTCTGAAAGAAGACCTCGATCAGCGCAAACTTGACTCAAATAGTAATCAAATCTAAGAAAGATTAGGATAACGGCTTTTCTGGATTTTATCGCGCTGTTTCTGATTTTCTAGAACTCTTGCTTAAAAATTCCGAATTTCGGATGATTTCGTTCTTTCATTTTTATCTCTGCAACCTGAGCACCTTGGAAAGTCCTCAGGAGCTACTTGCTTTACGCTTTCAGACAAAACTTGATTTGCGCAAAATCGTGGTGACCGAAAAAAGTTATGATTTTTTGAAAATGGTGCGACAGAACTTTCGGTTCAACCTAATATATAAAGCTGAATGTCTGTATGTCTGTATGTCTGTATGTCTGTCTGTACGTATGTGCGGAATAGAAATTTTTATTTCTGAATCGATTTGGACCAAACTTGGCACACATACACTTCGGGGCGGGGAGCGTGTCATAGGCTACTTTTCGTATCGATCGATATCGATTTTATCTATTTTGCAAAATTTGAGCTACAGGGCTGGGAGTTGGCACAGGGGGGTAATCAAGCATGCTGAGTACAAATATGTTATTGACAGGGCCGGGCGGAGCCGGGTTTGTCAGCTAGTCTTCTAGTAATATGGCCTCTTGATCCGTAGGATTAAGCTTTGGCACAACACAAAGCGTCATTCTACAGAGCTTCAGCACAAAGCACAAACCATTAGGATCTGATCCCTCAGAATGAGACTGCGTTATATTACCATGTGCTTGTTTTCTTTAGCAGAAGTTCGTTTTCTATTGATATACCAAATCTTTCTTCCAGAAAGCTCAGATGAATTCATATCTCTCACCTGGTCGACCATCGCCAGATGTAAATTCATTGGGGAATGACTCCTTTCCAACTCTGTTGATGGGGACTGTGAAACAATGATTGGCAATGGCTGCACTGCGCGCTTCGAAGGCCCACATCGGTTCACTGCAACACTCCAAGAATTCCTCAGCTTAACTTTTCTAAGAATTTTCAAGGCGTGAATCATAGTCTTATGCCGGTAAAAGGTGGAATCAGTCATGCAATCTACTTCAAATTTTCTACCATGTAAAACTATCGCCGTTGCATGGTACCAAACTGTTTACCTCATATTCTCGACTACTTCTGCACAAGGGTTGAAGATGATCTCAGCCCCATTCAATGCGTACATCATCCAGTTCTGAGGATGATGACGACCGTAACAAACATTTACCGCCACTTTCCCTAAAATAATAAAGATACTCAATAATACAGACGCTAACCACTGAGATAAAGACTAGTTTATGTCGAAACTATTTTGAAGTCAAAAACTTTTAGCAAACATACCAAAAGCAGTTTCGAAAACTGGATGCCCAAGATTAGATTCCATGTAGTACGTCGACTGCAACCATTCAATTATAAATCATCTTTTTAGACTCGGATTACGCACTCACTTCAGAAAAGTCGCCAATTCTGGGTATGTGATTCTTCCGACTTTTGCCGATAACCTTGCCCGAGTTTGAAATAATGACAGCGGCATTCCACAAAACTTCATCTCTGTGTTCGTCCCTTTCAAGGATTGATGATACGATGACAATGTTGTGTTTGACAGCAAGCTGCAGCAATTTAGTATTTAGATATCAATTGTTAGGGCAAAGAGGAAATTTGAATTACACATTGATATAGCAAATAATATTCGTGTCTTTTGAGGGAATCTTCCAAGAATTCCAGTTTAGCACGACTGAGAACCTGGTCATATATCTGTGGCGATAGCAGTCCCCCACCCACCCCCTCTCCTCCCTTACAAAAATGTTGTAAAGTTATTGAAAGTTATTTACATGAGTTACAAAATTCTGCAAATGATTTGTTTCCACTAGTAAATAACACAATGATTTTTTTTTCGAATTTTCAAAAAAATTTGTAGGGGAAAAATATCTGGGGGCAAAATTATTGGCTACGGATTACGAGCTCGTTATAAGGCATTTTGGAGAACGTAGCTAATGCCGCGCTTTTTCATTAGAAAAATCCTGCAGCTCCTACTCCCCCCCCCCCCCCCCTCCCGTCGAACGAAATTATTCCGGACCGCCACTGGTCTTTTAGACACTGTCAAGCATTTCTGCAAATAGGAAACATTAAAATTGTCAATTTAGCATAGATCTGCTGAATCATCCAAAAATGCGGCAACTGAAATTACTGCTGAAGGATTCTCAACTAGTTTGAAACAACGACGGTGAACAGCCGTCATACCTGGCTAAGGAATTTGGTTGATGGACCGTGCTCTGCAGATTCTGCAAATTCCGTCCAAGGCAAGCGCTCACGAGTACAAAATGCAAATGGCATGGCTGAATTAGCTCTGATCATGTTTTTTCGATGATATAGAGACGGGCTAATCAAACACTGACTCCATAGTTCGTGCATGCAGACGATGTTGGCACCTGCTGCTGCAGCAGCATCTATCATCGTGGCCACCTTTTGATGGATAGCCTTTCGTTGTTCTTCGACAGGACCCGATGTTGGTAGAACCGTCGCAAACTGGATTGCAGCTACTCTAACCTGCGAAAATTCTATTCTCAAAGATGGATCTGCAGCAGAAACTCATTACCTTCCGAGGTGCTCGGAGCTGCTCCGGTTCGGCGGTGATCGCGTAGCATTTCAGATCAAACTTGTTCTTCTGCGCTATATCATGCGCTTCTTTCGGTACCTCCAGCTCCCTATAATCAGCATAACCGTGACAGTGCGGTAATTCGGCGTACTTACGGATGGGGTCTTCCATAGAGAATTCTGTGCACTTCTTCGTATACGGGTCCTTGGAGTTCTTTCAGACCTTCGTCTACGCTATCAAGGGTGAACGGAGAACTCATTTTTTGCGAAAGATACAATCTTCTAAGCAAGTTTATAAATGGCATAAATATCAATCAGGATTTTAAAGCCAACGTCTCGGCGAATTTCCGCTGTCTAGCTCCCACCTATTCGGAGCATTCTCGCCATGAGGAGTCCATATCTGAGCTTTTTAGCGCATGAAAATGGCGAAAATGAGCCCTTTTTTGAAGTTTTCCTGGCCCGCATTCAGTGGAAATACGCCGGAAATCTTCCGCACCCCGCCTCCCCCGTTTCGGACTCCGCCTTACACGTATTTTCCACTGTAGCTGATCTAGAAAGCCTCGACAAAAGCTCATTTTCGCCATTTTTATGCGCTGAAAAGACCAGATATGGGTTCATGGCGGGAAGGCTCCGAATAGGTGAAAAACTGGAAAAGGAAATTTTGGGGACACTGCCTTCAAGCAGAAGGACATAGATATGTTGGTGCTGAGTGTTGCTATTACAAGTATCAAAGAACACCCAGTATGCAGAGCAAAGTTGCCTTGAAGTGCAAATCAAGGATACTGCGGTACGTACTGGCAATGGAACGAGCACCGATTTCCACTGTGTAAACAAATGTATTGCACTGATTTCCATAAAAAGTCAACACCTGACATTCTCTATCAATGATATCGCAAAACTGGTTGAGAAAATCACTTTGCAATGAAAAGCAACACTTGAATCGTACTTCACAACTTTTGTAATCAATACATGAGTAGTACATACACGATAAATAACAAAAATAGAATGCGTTATGTAAGTTTCCAACCAAAACTTTGATCTCTTAGACGTTTTGAGAGATCAACAATAACTCAGAAACATCGTAGAAGCAAGCCAAATATTCTCGGACGTTGAAGGAAATTGGTTGCAGTTTTTTGATATGTTCTGAAGATCACAAGAACGCATTCATGAAGCGAAGACAGAACTAAAAATAAAACTTGACCTAAAATAAATTTGATAAGCACGAAGTTGAGCTTTTATCCGGTTTGTTAAACAGAAGCGATAGTCAGTAAAAAGCACGAGTGAGTAAATTAACACATTAACGACAATACGACACCGGGTTGAAGTGCCCTCCGTTTTGAACAATACGACCCACCGGTGGGCCGTATACTTTCTGAAGTTTTTGATTCTACTAAGTTACGATGAAATTTTTCGGGCAAACTGAATAAACTTCTGTTCACATCTCTTGGAATACTTCCCAAAAGATTGACACTTCAAACCGTGAGACTCATCAGCGGCCAGAAAATATAAAGCAAACTCAATACTGCGAAATATTCTCTGGTCCAAAATGGCAGTCATCGAAAAATCGGCCTTGGCGTGAATGTTTCAATGATAACGCTTCTATTGAAAGAGAAACTAGTGAAAATCGCAATGATTGACTCTTTCGGAAGCCTGACTCCACCAGGCTCAGGAGGGACTATCGTTCGTAGGAAATGCCTCACACTGCTGCAGGCTGTTAGATGCGAGAGAGAAAATTGAGATGAAGATAGTTTTGATAATGGGAGAGAAGAATGTGTGGAACCGTATAAGTGCAGTAACTTCAAGGAAGGGGGGGGGGTACTAGTGCAGTAAAGATCTCCTTGATCTATTGCTCGTCATTACATCAGTGCAAAATGAGAAACCATTGGTCCATAAATGGTCATTTTAAATTTTCATTTCATAGAGCAATCTTTTGGCGTAAGACAATATAAAGTGTGAGCTATCAGAGCGTTGCGCAGCTTGCGTTAATCCCATTGAAATTGTTCGTTTCTACTCTCGATTCTCAACAAGTTGGTAAATAATGTTAACCGAAAAGCTCACCTTATCTATCAAAGCTATTGTAGAATCCAATCTACATTTCGGAAACAATGAACCAAGAGTGCATTGAAAGCAAAAAACAGCAGAACGGCCGCACTTTCTGATCTACTCACTTACGGAACAGTGATAACTGTTCATTGGACTTTTGCTTCGTAGGTGCACATGGGATAGGATGTCGCTAGGTTATTTGAGCGATAATTTGTCTGAATAGATTGAGAAAGTTTGTAAAATCTGTCGCTGCCTGTTTGGTTGTAACACCTTTAGTGTCTTATGCCACTGAGAAAAAATTTTCTCAGTGGTTTTGTACACTCTTGAACATCTATTTCTTCGGATGACAGCAAAATTCTACATCTTTCGATATTCTAGGCATGATTATAGATTGTAGATGTCATATAATGTTCGAAAATGAAGCGTGAGACGCATCAACGGCATTTTTTCTGCCAACAAAGAAGGATACTAAATTGGATTTGCCTTTTGAGATGAATCATATATGGAACCGGTTTGAAACGCTGATTCCAAAAATGCTGTAACTAGCTGCTCAGCATCATTCTGAAGCGAGTTATGGTCTCTTTTCTGTGCAAAATATGCGCACTCATTGACTTACTAATGCTATGGTATCAACGTCCGGGTGATTTACTTTTTTCTAAGATAGAAAGACGTAATATAGTGCTCGAAAACATCTTAGCACGTTTCGCGAGCGGATCCCTAACTACAGGCCGTTTCAACGTATTCAGAAGTATGTCAATTACTCATTATTACATTATCAATCTCATAACTTGCTTCAGAATTACGCTTAGCAGCTAAGAGCAGCATGCTTGGAATCAGCGCTCCAGCTTATACCAAATAAATATGTCTCATCTCAAAAGGGAAATCTAAGTAGTATACTTCTTTTATAAGTTAAAGTATATGGAATTTGCGTTTTCTTGCCCAGCAATGCACGACTAAAAGGTGTTTTTGAAGCTCTTTTCTGAGAAAATGGGTATGATCTCGTTTTTCGAACTGAAAAAACTCAAGCTAACAACCAGTGACGGTGCTGCTACCACGATAGGTTCGTGATGCCCACATCAGACGGGAGGAAAAAAGGGGAGAACACAGCGTGACGCTCATTTTACCACTGTGTCGTTAAATTTTATATCACCATTACTGACATCCCAGACTATCTATGTGTTCTCCTTGATTTTCTATAGTAGCAGTTGGCTTCGGAAAATTTCGAGGAATTGTGTTATGAAAAAGCAAATGTAACTTTCATTTGAGTTGGTATCGTACTCAAAATGTAAGACGCATTACAACCACACACACTACACGATTTAAGAAGGAATAAACGTTGAAGTAAGCGTAATAATTTAATATGCCTCGCTTCAGTTCTAAATTCGAAATAGACAGAGTGACCCACATTTTATACACCACGGCTTACTTGGTTCATTTACAAGCAAAAGTAAGTATATGAATTCTTTATAGACGACTTTTTAATTTGACACTTCCCAAATTTACCATACAGCGCAGCGTTTTGCAGGGTTCATGGCAGTGCCCGGTTTACATCCGAAAGCAGCAGCAAATTCGGGTTGGTTGGCCAGCACTTGATTGACTCTAAAAGCGGCTTAATAATTCGTGATTTGCACGTGCATTCAAACTTCATCTACCGGTAACGTGGCGGAGCGTGGATATCGCTGAGGAGCTGTATACGTAGCCGGTCACTTGTGGAATGTTCACACTTAACCTTAAATAGGACTGTTGAACGGACGTCTGCCATGAAAAGCGATTTTATCTCAGTTGGACACCAAACATAGCATTTCTATTGTTTGGTAACTATTAGAGTTACCTAATGAATTTTTCAAATTTCAGAGAAATCATAGAAGATAACTCCCAGGCCCTTTCACTTTATTATCTTGACATAGATTCAAAACATAAACGTTGAGATAAAAAAACAGGTAAAGATGCATCTGACAGCGTTTTCGCGTGTATTTCGCCAAAACTATTCAAACAGCAAATGGTAACAATTTCAGATCAGGATCCGGCGCAGTTGGAACAGGTCAAGCTTAACGCCGTTTTTAGAGGGAAAACAAAAGGGACGTCTTTTTTTTGAGGGCTGCGAGTGGAAAAAGCCGCTGGCATGTCTAGGGCAGAGCATGTCGCAGGCGTGCGGGCGGCACGCTCTACCCCAAACAAATGAAGTAGCATACAACCAAAACGCAATGGTATGACATCACTAATGTCATGCTCGTGAGGGAATCAAAGTATGGCTAAGGAAATCATAAAAGTCTATATAAATAGACTGCAAATTTTTCTTTGAATAAGCTGACGTTTCAGCTGTGTTTCTGGTGACTGAAACCGATTTGCTCATATAATCTTTCATGTGTTTTCAAATATATTACTTTTGCCGCATATCTCATACGAGCAAAAAAACAACATCGTAATCTCTCCTCTAGGCCTTTATATAACCTTCACAAAATTCATTGGCGGCGCAGTCTGCTCCCATCGTGAATCGCCCTCGCGAGCAGACCACATTTGGTGTTGATTATGCTTGCCCTTCTATTTCCCTCCTCTTTTTATATTCTTACTTCTTATACGTTTTTGTCATCATGTCAGACGAGGAGAGAGTGGAGCTGTCGGGGCAGAGAGCAGGGGAAAGAAATAAAAAATGTAGGAGATGTGGAGGGCGCATACAAAAATTGACGAAAATTTTTGGCGCTATTCCAGTATCCGGGCCTCAAAATTTTTTGTAGTAGATTTAGCCGAAACTTGGCTCAGGGGGTTCGGCTCGTTGATGCCGAATATCACATTGGTTTTGTACAATAGCGTCATTTTTTGAGTTACGGTGGTTGTACGGTAGGGGGTCAAAATCGCGGATTTGGCTGAAATTTGCTCTAGGGGGGTTTTCCGACGTTGCTGATCACAAAGTCAAGTTCTTTCTGCATTCTGCGCCTCTTCGTAGAGTTACGGTAGGTATGCGGTTTGAGGGCAAAACCATGAATTTGCTCCAAACTTTGCCTAGGAAGGTTATTCAAATCTTTGCCTAGAAGAGTTTTTGAGCATGCTGTTTGCGAATATCATCCTTACTCGCTGCAATACGCCTTGTTGCGGAATTACGGTGACTTGCAGCCTATGAATTAGACATTTTACGCCTTTCGGGTCATTCTAGATCACGAATTCCACGCAGAGGCTATACCATGCGAAATGAGACAACACTCGTGATCAGCAAGTCAAATAGCCCCCTGCAGACATTTCGAGCAGGTCTATGGTTTTGACTCCCTACCATATACCTAGCGTAACCCTGCAGAAATGTCGCAAAACGCAAGGCGAGCATAATAATTGTGATCAGCATGTCACAAAATCCCCTAGGCCAAGCTTCAGCGAATTCGGTGATTTTGACCCCCTGCCATACACCCACCGTAACCTCAGAAAATGACGCTATCATACAAAAGCAATGTGATATTCGGCATCAGCTGGCCGAATAACGCCCATAGGCCAAGTTTCAGCCAAGTCCACGACAAAAAAATTTGGGGCCCGGATGCCGGAATAGCGCCAAATTTTTGAATTTTTTTTTCAATGAGTAGGAACATACCATTCATTTAGAGTGAGCAATTAGCGATAGCACAACCAAAAAAGAGAAGTGAAGAGTGAGGGGGAGGAAGGGTCCGAATGTCAAAGGGTACGTAAAAGTTTTCCAGAATAGGCTTAATCTCAAAATCTTCCTAGTTTCGGCTGGTGTGAGCCCTGCTTCAGATAGCTAGTAAGCCAAAAAACGTTGGTATTCCTGTGACTGCACAGTTATAGAAAGCGTGTCTCTTGGCCGTCTTCTTTATTGAACCATGCTGTTTTGTTTGAAAGACTTACGAGAGCATAGCCCAAGAAAAACATCTGCTCGTTGCTGAATTGTTCCAGACCTTCAACTCTTTTTTCCTCTCCACCATGTTTTTGCAGATAATTTTGGTAAGCCTAAATACATATCTAGGGCAGCTGAAGACGTTAGTATCACGGTGTTACCCTATAGGCAATTTTTACTCCACCGTTGTCAGCAATATTTTCTCCCTGAGTGAGTATTCCATTGATGTTGAGACCGGTTTCAGGTACCTAAATGACAGCAATAGGTTGTAACATGAATTTTCAACAGTTTTTCTATCTTCTTTCACTTCCAACGATTTCGTTTAGTTTTACAAATTTTGGGAAGAGAAATCATGACCTGGTGTTAAAGTTGTTTGCAAAGATATCAAGCATTAAGCAGCGACATAAGCTGAAAAAGCAAACACTTAAATTGTGAAATTTAAAAAATGGTCGTAAGTGGTAAAAGGTTCAGTAAAACGGATCTAATGTTTTTGCTGATATGACTTAGATTCTAACCGAAAAATTTTGTGTCAATGGCGCCTCTAGTCCGAAAGTCCGTTCAAAACTCATTTTTTGAAAAACGTAACACTTAGCTATTTGCATGATTTGTCTGTAATAAGTTTCATTATAGAGGAAAAATCATGCAGTTTGTAGCTATTGCTTAACTGCGTTCTACTAATCGTAAGTCGCGGATTCAAGAAGAAGATCACTCAAATTTCGGTGATTCCAAGCAAGCTCGCCGAAAATTTGAATATTACAGGAATGCCGAAACAGACAGGAACATCGTATGATCTCATCTTCCTAGTTATGCGAATTGTTTTGATCGAGTGTCCTATGACAAATTATGATTTTTGGGAAAATACTCTGGGTTTGTATGTGAAATCAATCTGCTCTCGACCAGAACGAATTTCGTACAACTAGAAAGAGGAGGTCACAACACCTAACCTATGTATTATATATTAGGTTGGCTAATAAATAAGTTCGGTCGCTTTTTCAGCTCTTACAAATGCTGTAGACAAATTTTTGTCCAATGTTTGGTATCTCTGAAAAGAGCACTTTACTGGGTATTGGAGCATATATTCTGTTCGAGTAAAACTTATCTTCCCAGGAAAAAAATCCGCAAAGAAGTGAAAAATCGCAATTTTCCCTTAGTGCGCAAATATGAGGAAATTTGGTTTTTTTTAGTGAAACATTTTCAAAATGGCAGATCACAATTCTTTTTGTTGTTCACTAAATAGGGATAACTCCTCTGTATCCAAACACCAAATTGCTGTTATTTACATCCATTACGGCATGAAAGCGAAGCTCAAGAAGTCAAAGAATTGAGCTTCTGGAAATTTCGCCATGTTGAGGCATAACTGTCTTTACTGACGATAGAAAAACCTGATTATTTGAAATGTGATAGAGGAAGCTTCTATCTACTTTCCCACAAAGAATCATAGATTGAAAACAACAAGAAAATTTTTTATGACAATTTGTATGCTAAAACGAACTTACTTTTTAATATAACAGTTTCAGCTTCCCCTGTGAAGATTCAAGATTTTTGAGTTTCTCAAAAACTGGTAAACTCAAGTAATTCTCTTTATTCGCAAATTCTTGCATTTCCTCGTTCTGTTATATGGCGAAGGTACCACTGTGAAACGTGTGACTACCACCTTCAGACAATAGTACTTTTACAATTTTTGCTGATCCTGCTTGAAAACTCTAAACTGAGTAATTTTCAAGAGTTTCTAGCGCTAGTATTTGGTCAACCTAATTTAGAGCAGCGGCACTTATGTAAAGAGCATAAATTCAATTTCAAGTGAGAGTAATCTCGAGGAAATCCTTTAAGATATCAGGAAGTACAGGAAGTACGATTTTGGAAAAATGCGATTTCTTGGACAACCTAATATAATATATGCATAAACAGGGCATGGCACAGGAGCTGGATATCGTTTTTAGGAGAAAAAACAGAGGGGATATTGTTTTTGCGGTCCGCGTGCCCTCGGCACGCTGCCGGCATTCCGGCGGCATGCTCTCCCAAACAAACAGAGGGTTTGTTTACAGCGAAGTGAAAATGAAATGACATCAAAATTGGTGTGTAGATGGACAATGAGAAGTTAGGACTATGTATGAAAAATCATGAAAGAATTATGTGGACTGGAGGCGTGCTCAACTTTTTTTCGGAGTTAGGTGGCTTTCAAGCCAACTGGAAGCTACCTGAGATGGCTTGGGAAGAAAAGTCATAAAATTCCTCTCCCTTACATGATTTTCTTACTTTCTTTTACAAAAATCTCATCTACATCCCAAACCCAACAAATTGGTTCCTAAACCGCCTCAAACCCCACCTCCCCGCTCAGTACAACCCCCTGAAAATTTTGAATGGCGGCGGCAACGCTGCTCCGGGCGCGTTTTTGACGCTTTAGCGTTTTTTTGTTTTGCTTTGTTCCGTTCCTTTTCATGTATTTTCTTTCCTGATATCGTACTTTCCTAGTGAAATCGAAGGGGACTTCGTTTTTTTGCAGTTTCGGGAAGCCACATTGTGCCGATCCCTGTGCATAAAGAAGCAAGAACTCTTTCGCATCTTTTTCTCACCTCTTTTCTTTTTCAAATCATAGGCTTCAGTTAGGAAATATTTGAGAAAAAATTGCTGAGAAGAAAACTTATGAAAGTAAGCCAAAGAGATTTTTCAATGTAAATATAATGTAGAGGAAGGTCTTAGCAATATTTACTCGAGGTATTGTTGTGTTTGTTCGCAAAATCTAGATCGCCAAAGTTAAAGAGAGTCTGTATTATAAATTTCATGGCTGCTCTTTTTGATTAAACGGGTTTGTGTTCACTAAGCTTTTTTGGAGGTAAGTTTCTGCAAAAAATCAATAAATCGAAATTGGTTTTGCACTTCCTACCCAAGGACCACAACTTTTGATATTAGATTGAGCTCAAGGTCCGTTTTGGATTCCAACCGTACTAAGTCATAGGCTTCTTATTTCTGAACAAATTTTCGAAGTAGTATTCGATAGAGTACAAGTTCTGCATGATGACGTAATTGCTTTTGCATCGTGTTTATTCCTCCCCGAGTTTTAAATATTATAAAAAAGATTCAGATGTCAGAAAAATCAATATTTCGGGCAGCTGGAAAGAATCAAGTAAATCCGAAAAAAGTATTCTACAAAAATCCTAGCTTGCTTACACACACCTTTCCACACCAGACATCTTTATATATACCTTTGCTGAATATTTTCCTCGACTAGAAATCAAGATAACGAAAATTCTCATGCTTTTCCCAAGGTGACGCTGCGCTGTGCCCATATGTGTAATTGTATATCAGGAAGCTGCGAAAGTACAAACGTAATTTTCCATCAATCTACAGGCTCTAGTCCACGAAATATGTAAGAAATAGCAATCCCAACTTGGGCGTCTCACGGTAAGATCCATATTTCTCGAGAAATGGAGTTCGTTGAGAGCTGAAATCTAGTTCTTACTTCTACAGGTTTGTAGTATGCAATCACTCATGTAGAACAGCACAGCATAACTTCGGTAGAGCCAAAAAAAATTTGTCTTCATAATTTATAAGTGTATGCGTGAGCAAGCTAGGGTTTTTCTAATGACTTTTTTGAAGAGAGTCACTTCTTCTCGATTTTCGAACAGCAGGATCTTTTAGTTTTTGGCTTCAAACTCGGCAAGGACCACAGCTATTTCAAAAGCAAATACTAGGTTGGTAAGAAAGTTCTCGGACATTTTCAGAAAAGATCTGCTATTTCTCGAAACCTAATGCATATACATCAGATAGAGGTAACATTCGATAGAGCAAAGCAAGCTCTACAAGATGGTATGCAAAAATTCGTACCAGCTTCGACCCACCGTAAGTTTGCATCCAAATCTGAGTCGTACTGAAATTCAAAAAGCGCGAAAAATTCATATCTTTGTTCAAACAAATCCTACGAATCTCCAACTTGCTCATAAAAATTATCAAACACTCATATGCACCGTTTCTGTAATTTTTCCTCACCTAGAAATCGAAAAAACGAAAATTTTCATGCTTGTATAAAAACGAAGCTGTGCTGGGTTCACCCATGTAATTGAATAGTACAAGCCCTTGGAAGTATAACCGTAAATTTTCAGCTTTCTACAGGCCCTAGTTCCCGAAAATTACCAAATTAAGCGCTCCTCACTCGGTCGTTCCATGCTAAAATCAATATTTTTCCACAACTAGAGCTTACGGAAAGCCGAAAATTTACGGTTGTACCTTTAAGGGCTTGTACTATTCAAGTACATGGGTGAACCCAGCACAGCTTCGTTTTTATACAAGCATGAAAATTTTCGTTTTTTCGATTTCTAGATGAGGAAAAATTACAGAAACGGTGCATATGAGTGTTTGATAATTTTTATGAGCAAGTTGGAGATTCGTAGGTTGTTTGAACAAAGATATGAATTTTTCGCGCTTTTTGAATTTCAGTACGACTCAGATTTGGGTGCAAACCTACGGTAGGTCGAAGCTGGTACGAACTTTTGCATACCATCTTGTAAAGCTTGCTTTGCTCTATCGAACGGTACCCCTACCCCTATCTGATGTATGTGCATTAGGTTTCAAGAAATAGCAGATCTTTTCTGAAAATGTCCGAGAACTTTCTTACCAGCCTAATATGTCACCTTGTAGTGCTTGTTTTGCACTATCGATTGCATTGGGACCTATTTAGAAACGAAAATCGTGTGACTTATTGCGACCAGGTCATTATCTTCGCACAACCCAATGGATATTCAGTCAGCACAGAATTTGCTCACAGTCACTTAGAAATTCGTAAAATTTATGATGGCTACTGTTAAGAATAATATCAATCTTATATATAAAGCTGAATGTCTGTTTGTCTGTCTGTATGTCTGTATGTCTGTCTGTCTGTGTGTACGTATGTTCCGAATAGAAAATTCCATTTCTGAACCGATCCGGACCAAACTTGGCACACATACACTTCGGGCCCCGGCGGGTGTCATAGGCTACTTTTCGTCATCGATCGATATCGATTTTATCGATTTTTATCGATTTTTTTGCTGAGTTCACCTACGGGGCTGGGAGTTTGCACAGGGGGGTAATCGAGCATGGGGATTCCGAATACAATATTGGTTTTCGGGATTATCGATTACTTTTATCGATTTTATCGATTTTTTTGCAAAGTTTGAGCTACGGGGCTGGGAGTTGGCACAGAGGGGTAATCGAGCATGGGGATTCCGAATACAATATTGGTTTTCGGGATTATCGATTACTTTTATCGATT